CAACTAGTGTTTGTAGAGGACCCGCCTGTGTTAGCTGTAGTTCCGGGGGCAGTGGGGCCGGCCAGACTTGTCCGCGCCCGCACTGAGGCCAAGGGGTGGACAGCCCACAGGTGGGGCCCTGAAGAAGTGCGTGAGGCCCAGGGCTCCTCCTGGAGGGCCCAGTCAGGTGGTTTCCCCGAGGAAGGGAAGCTGCAGCCAGGATTTGAGGGCCAGGCAATGAGGGGGAGGAGAACCTTCTAGACGGAGCCCTCTGGTGGGAGGTCAGCATCGATGGAACAGAGGGGGATGAGCAGAGAGGGGGAGGAGGATGTCCACTGGGGTTGATAGGGATGAGTTGACTGACTCCCAAGCTTGGCTGTCACCCACCTCACTCGCCACCACAGGTGCCCCCGGACAGTGCTGTCCCCTAGAGCGCGGCACAGCAGGTGTGGCTGGGCCCCGGGAGTGGGCATTCGCTAGATGCCAGGGGCCGCTGCCCACGGCTTTGGTCCCCGTCCCTCCTTTCCACCACGGCTTGGTGCATTGACACAGTACCTGGATGTCAAAAGCGTGCTTTCTTCCCAGCAGAGCAAACGGACCAACCTGAAAAAGCCTAACTCAGAGCGGACGGGGCATGGGCTGAGAGTCCGGTTCAATCCCCTGGCGCTGCTTCTAGATGCTTCTCTGGAAGGAGAGTTTGACCTGGTGCAGAGGATCATCTATGAGGTGAGCTGAGCGCAGCCACGGGCCAGGCTGCCCTGCGTGCAGGGGGGTGGGGCTCACAGGCGCCTTGTGTCCTCAGGTGGAAGACCCTAGCAAGCCCAATGACGAAGGCATCACCCCACTGCACAACGCTGTCTGCGCCGGCCACCACCACATCGTGAAGTTCCTGCTGGACTTCGGGGTCAATGTGAATGCCGCCGACAGTGATGGCTGGTGAGGGCCCCTGGGGCACATGGTCTACACAGGCAGAAGCGGCCCCACTAGTCCAGGACTCGGGCAAGTGCAGAAGCAGACATGGGAGGGCGGGCGGGCCTGGAGTCGCACCCTAGAGCCATCTGGTGTGGTCCCCTCCCTGCTTTAGTCCTGTGAGTCCTCTGGTGAAAGGCACAGCTGTGATCGAGTCTTCTAGCAACATCCCGGGGTACGCATTTGCCAAGTGTTACTCTTCATCTGGTTTTAAATGGCCTGTACCCGTGTGGGCAGGGACTCCGCTTGGCTGTGCCGTTGTCCATGTTTGCATACAGGGCCCTTCCGCTGCCGGGCAGACCCCCCGGCCCCCCGCAGGGTTTGTTGGGAATGACAGCCTCCTGTTCGTGGGGTTCAGTCATCTGGGATTTTTTAATCGTGGCAAAATCCGCCTACTGCCTCCTGCCGTAGCCGCGTGAAGGCGCGTGTCAGCCACGCACGGCATGTTCCTGCCCGGGTGTGCAGAGCGCCTACTTGATAGGCTGCTTCCCGGACCCCTTGAGGCCCCGCCCACCCAGCAGTGGCCGCGCAGTCAGGACACAGGGGAACCTCTGGGCTCAGGGCGCAGCCCAGCCCTGGGGCCCCCCGGGGACGGCCCGCTCCCAGCTGGCCGGCCAGGGCCTCATGTGCCTTCACCTGCTCTCGGTTGCAGGACGCCGCTGCACTGCGCCGCCTCTTGCAACAGCGTCCACCTCTGCAAACAATTGGTGGAGAGCGGCGCTGCCATCTTTGCCTCAACCATCAGCGACATTGAAACGGCCGCGGACAAGTGCGAGGAGATGGAGGAAGGCTACATCCAGTGCTCCCAGTTCCTCTATGGTACGTGGGGGTGTTGGCACTGGGCACGGGCTCTTGCCCTGGGTGCGGTGCCGGCGTGCTGGGCCGGGGAGAAGCCAGGTACCACTTTGCCAGCACCCGCCAGTCTCCTCAGATGGGAGTCACGCTGTCCCTAAGGCTCGTTCTGAAAGCATGTTGGAAGGGCCATGTTGTCAGAGATTCCGTGCTTGGTCACTAAAAACAGCATGTTCTCTGTGTGGATGCGGCCCCTTTGGGTGGAGCAGCTGGGAGGTCTGGGGGGTGCTGGGCAGCACCCATCTGTACGTTTCTGGGGCGCACCAGGGCTTGAAGCATAGCCGAAGGTGCTCCAGGGTCAGGCTGCCGAGGAGGGGCCCCCGCAGCCCCGGCATGGGGTGACCACTGGTGAGTGAGCCACGGAGTGGAGCTCACCCTGCTGTAATTAAGGCACCGGAGCCAGGATCATCTTTTCTTTAAAAAAAAACTTTTTTAATGTTTGTTTATTTTTGAGAGAGAGAGGAAGGGAGGGAGAGGCAGAAAGAGGGAGACACAGAATCCAAAGCAGGCTCCAGGCTCCGAGCTGTCAGCACAGAGCCCGACGTGGAGCTTGAACTCACGGCCAGAGCCGAAGTCGGACGCTCAGCTGACTAAGCCCCAGGCGCCCCCAGGATCAGCCTTTCTAAGGATGAAAGAGCTGCGGGCCGTGTGCTCCACACGAGCTTGGGCACCATGGCCCTGCCCTGCCGTAGCGCTGGGCACGCGGGGGCACCCTGAAGCAGGCCCCAGGCTCCCGGCACGGAGGCAGTGGGGGCCACAGTCACAGGGACAGCTGTGCCAGCGGAACAGGGGCAGGAGGTACCCGGGCCCGTCTCGGGGTCCCCGCGGTCACTTGGAGTGTGAGCTTGCTTGGCGGTGGTGGCGCGGGGCCTTGTTGAGGGCCCCCCCTGCCCAGGAGCGGCCGCACCACCTCGCTGGTCGACTTTTGGAAGTAGTTCTGGGTGTGAATTGAGTTTCTCCGGCAACACGCCTCGGCCCCGGGACCGACCGCGGTGGGAACACGACTCGTGACACGGCCCTAGACGGCTGCCGGACCTGGGGCAGCACCAGGCCACGTGGCGCTTGCGCCCTGCCCGCGGCCCGCCCTCTGCGGACACCTGACCCCTCGCCCTGTCGTCCCAGGGGTGCAGGAGAAGCTGGGCGTGATGAACAAAGGAGTGGTGTACGCCCTGTGGGGCTATGAGGCCCAGAACAGCGACGAGCTGTCCTTCCACGAGGGGGACGCCATCACCATCCTGAGGCGCAAGGACGAGAGCGAAACCGAGTGGTGGTGGGCTCGACTCGGGGACCGGGAGGGCTATGTGCCCAAAAACCTGCTGGGGGTAAGCACCTTGCGCTCGCTTGTCCGGCCTCAGCCGCCGCTGCTGCTGTCGCTCCCGCGGCCCTGTCCCCTCCCACCGGCCCGTAAGTCACAGAGCACCGGGCTTCGTGCGGGGTGAGCGCGGCGGGAGACTGCCCTCGTCCACCCTCCACGCCCCCTGATCGGGCAGGTTTGCAGAGTTGGCTCGAGGCCCCGGCGGGAGCCAACTGTGGGAGCGGGGAGGGGGGGGGGGGGCCGGCCCAGGGGCCCCGAGCCCCCGATGCAGGAGCTGGCAGGCAGCCCGCCGCCACCACTGTCCACCGTCTGCGGCCCAGAACCGCGTCGGGGTGTGGAGCCCGCACGCCGTCCCCTCTGTAGCGTCTCTAACCGCACCAGACCTCAGGGCAGGTGCCGCTGGGCCCCCCGCGCGCCTCCGGGGACGTGCGGGCTTCCCGCCACCAACGTGGATTTGAGGCGCTGCCAAATGCCGCGCACAAGAGGCTCTCCGGGGTGGGGGGGTGCAGCCTGTAGAGGGAGTCAGGGGTCTCTGGTGGGTGGCGGCTGCGTGGCGGCCGCCTGGGCACCGCCGGGCACCCCTTCCTGCTCGGCGTGCCGCATCTGCGCCCTCACCGTTTGCACCGCTTCCCAGTTGTATCCACGGATCAAACCCCGACAGCGCACGCTCGCCTGAACTTCCGTCGGGGGCACTGCCCACGCGCGCCCGCCGCAAGGAGCCGCTGAGGAGCCCGCGCTGCCGTCTCCCCGGGAAAGCTGCAGCTAGACGTGGTTTACACTGGTGCTCGCCCTAGCGGACAGCGTCCACAATGTGAAATCCCCGCGGTTTCCCGGGGAGGCCGTTTCAGTTGGCCCGTAACTGGGAGAGGTACTTTTGCCTCCAGAGACTGAATTTTGCCAATTACTGTAAATCCAAATAAATACCCAGCTTTGTAAGCAGCTGTCCCTGTTGCCAATAGGAAGCCCCAGAACTTCCCCCTGGTTGGTTGCCAGTGAAGACGACCCTCTTACTGACTTGGCCCCAAGGCCTCATTCTCCACGTCCCTCCACCCCAGTGCCGAGAGCTCGCAGCCGCTGTGAGCCCCCCCCCCCCGCCCCCGGCTACCGGAAATCACAGCCGCCCACCATCCTTTCCGCCCTGACCACACGCATCTCCTCCTTTCCCTACCGAGAGGGCCCCTGGATGTAAACTTCTGTCAGTGGTGGTGCTTGGCGCGTGTGCTGGGCCTCGGTGTGGGTCCCCTGCACATGGCTGATGGCGGCCCGCGCTTCTGCGTCCCAGGCTCCAGGGCTCTGAATACCAAGTGATGAGCCCTCAGAAGCCTCCAGATCGCACTGTCCCCTCCTCTGCACACTGTGCGACCCATGGGCCAGCAGCCCAGGGCAGGGTGGGGGTGCATGTGGGGGTGCCTGCGTGTCAGGGGCAGCTGGGGGTGGGGCAGGAGTGGAGGCCAGCCACGATGCATAACCTGTGCCAGGTCCCGACTGCAAGTGAGGCACCTCGTACGCACAGACTTTTCTATACCAAAAGTATTTTTTGACTAGACCATTCGAAACTACCAGAATGATGGAAATGTTTTTTTCTCTCATTAAAATCCAGGCCCTTAGGCTTTATTTTCCATGTATGAGTCTTGTGTATAATTTATGTATAAACGTGTGTGTAGCCAGTCACCTGTAAGCATTGATTGTACGCAGCGTGCTGACGACAGGCGAGCGCCCGCGGGGCAGCCTCTGCTGCCGGAAGCCACCGCCGTGGAGGCCGTGTAAATGTGCACAATAAACCGCTGTCTCCCACCAGCGGCTGCGAGTCTTGTGTTTTGGAGCCAGAGCGGAGCCGCGGCACGAGAGCTCAGGTTTTCTGGACACAGTGAGGTGAGGGCTGATCTATTTTCAAAATAAGTTTTAATCATAAGCATTATATACAAATTGTTGTACAATTATTTTAATAAAGTGAAACGGTAAGTGAAAAGTACAAAAAGCAAGGCTGGCCCCTTTCCCTTAGTGAAGTATCAAAGGTTTGGCGGTAGCCCCAGATTAGTGATGCAATAAGTGAACAGTCTAGAAAATGGGCTCAGGGAGACTGAAAACGAGCACGCTAGAAACCAGGATCCCAGACAGCTCAGGCCCGACTTCGCACTGCCCAGATCCCTGCTCTGCAAGCGTGAACACTGAGGGGCCAGAACCTTCCAGCAAACCTGGGCACCCATAAAAACATGGTTGAAGTTATGCTAAAAGTAGTGTAGCAGTAGTGTAGCTAACTCTCCCCCACCTCCAATTAAGTATCAACAGGACAATACACCAGCTGTAGAGCGCGAAGCTGTTTAGAGCATTAATACACTGCGTGTCGCACTAGAGACGCGAGCGCTTCACTTCCTCCCAACGCTCGGATCGCTCTCCCGGCACAGCGGGGCGTCAGCGGCCTGTGCGTGCGGGGAGCAGGCTCCACGCTCCCGGGCCAGTGGTCCATCCCGCGTGGAGTCACTGGCCCCGTGACTCGTAGAGGAGCTTGGTGGCCTACGAGTGGTGAGACAAGCGTGACCGGTCCTGTGCCGAGCTGGCACGGGCACCCCCGCCCCCAGGGCTTCCTCTGGGAGAGGTGGGCCCCGCCTCCTGAGCCCGGCCTGGCTGCCGCCCTGGTACCTTGTGCATGGCCGCCAGCCACGCCGTCGACTGCCTCCTGCTGGCGTTTGCGTCCTCCCCGGCCGTCAGCTTCAGCTGCGTCAGGCCCTCTGCCCCTGGCGCTGCAAACCGCAGGGACATGCCTGTGGCCCGGGCATTACCTCCTGCAGGAGGGAGACCAGGTAAGAAGGCCCGCGGGGACCCCAAGCGCCCAGGATCCCACCTGCCCTCGTGGCGGAGACCAGGGAGCCTCCTTCCCACCCCTCACGCGGGTGCAGGGGGCCCAGGGGCACCGGGGGACAACATCCGGAAGACGACCCCAAATTCACAGGACGGGAAAGGAACCGAGTCCTCAGGGGCCCAGGACAAACTGCGCCACATCACTGAGCCGAGAGAACCACCACTGTGCCCCCCGGGCCCACGTGGGGACTCCTGCGGTCAGGAAACCCAAGCAGGGCCGGCTCCACGTGAGGACTGGTCCCACTGGCCGTCACTCTGGCCTCACAGCTGTCCCGCTGTTGAGAGCTCGCGTACAGGCTGAGCCACTGGCCGGGACCGGCACCGGAGAGGTACTGACACCCCACCCTGCCACGTGAGCCCCTGCAGAGATGCCGCGAGGCCACCGGCCTCTGCAGGCCATGGCCGGCTGCTCCCACCACCAGCCCCTCAAGGACGGGTGGCTCTCACAGTCTCGGCCATAGTCAAAATGGTCCCGTGGAGGCCAGGCCTCCCCCACGGAGCCCACCTAGAGCTCTTCTACTCTAACTTCAGCGTGAAAGCTCTGTTTATGAGCAGGACTCCACCTCGTGGAAGATTCCTTCCAGCAGACACTGATTTCTGAGTCAAAGCCAAGGGCCCGCCTCTCCCCCGGGCCCGTGGACTGCAGACCACACCCGCGGACAAATAGTGGCCTGACCATCGGTGCGTGTGCACAGGTGGTCCCTGACGCAGACCACGGCTCTGCCCACCCCCCACTTCTGTAAGTAAAGTTTAATCAGCACAGCCACGGCCATGTTCCGTGTCGTCTCTGGATGATTCTGCACTTTGCGGGGATCCGAGCAGCCGGCGAAGCTGACGACACGCACCACCAGGCTCTCAGGCCGCCAGGCAGCCCCCCTGCCCGCCCCCCACCTGCCCCTGGGAAGACAAGGTTCTGGGGTTTTAAAGGTTCTAGGAAATTTCTACCAGAGCAGGGTCCACTGCACCCCTAGAATTGCCAGAAGGGGGTGAGCAAGCACCAGAAACCCTCGGGCCCTGCCCCGGGAGACCACTGACCAGGCCACTGGGATGCGGCCTTCTCCCTGGCCCAGGAGGGGCCAGGACAAGGTGGCCTCCCTAGCAGGAGACAGGCCCCCGAGCACCTGGGCTGACCCCCAGCTTCTCCAGGCCCTGCCCTCTGTACCCGGGGGTCTGACCCCCCACCTGCCACGGGAGCCGGTCTGGAATGAACGAGCACACCGTGCTTGGGGCACAGAGGCGGCAGAGCGCTGGCCTGGCCCTCCGGCGTCGGCATTCAGGCGCCCGGGCAGAAGTGCGGAGCTGGCTGTGGAGGGGCGGGAAAGCGAGGGAGGGCGCCGGCCGTGCCCCCCACTCCTGCCCCTGCGCTCGGCCAGCTTAGGGCCCAGAGATGCTGATGCTAAGCCCCCTTAGAACTGAGAAACCGAGCAAATCAAACCCATTTCTGCCCCCAGATGTTTTCCTTCATGCTTTACATAGCCCTGCCTTGGGCCCAACCCCTTTCAAATGGACCAACAGAAGTGACTGTTTCAGAGGCAGCAGGGCCAGAGGGCAGAGCAGGTGGCTGACCTTGGGCGGCGGGCTGGCTCCCCAGGAGGCTGGTGTAAGTGTGAAAGTCTTTCTCTACAGCGAAGAAGGCAGGCAGGCGGGAGAGAAGAACCAAGAGCCAGTCAGCAAACAGAAAGCAAGAAGGATTAAGTCACGTGGGTGTTTGTCAGCACAGAATCCAAACCCTACTCTTGCAGAAAGACAGCTAGAAGCACAAGTTTAAGTGGAAAGATCCAGAAGGGGCTGAATGCTCTGGAAGCTCGCCAAGGAAATGGAAAGGAATCTTGTTTCCATAGATGCCTGACAGGAGCAGGAAAGCGCTGGTTCCCAACGAGCCACCACTCCGGGCCCTAGAGCACGTGGGTGACGCCAGCCGCTCTGGGAGCTTTATCCTTGGCGTGAGGCCAACAGTAAAGGGTGCAGAAGGGCTTTTATGTGACCCGTTCGGGCAACTTCTCCTGAATTCGTTATTTTACGCGTTACACCCCATTCACCTGGCAGGTTCCTAAAGCCACGTACTAAACCCAAGCCCTTAGAGGACAACGGAGACCCTGCCGACAGGCCCCGTCCTCGATGTCACCGCGTTCGCCCCAAAGCCGCCCACGCCGGCACCGAGCTTCCTGCCACACTCACCTCCGGGCGGAAAGCCTTCCGTGAGGATCTGCACACTCGAGATGTGCGCAATGTCGATCTCGTGGCGGCTGTCCCCGTCCAGGAGCAGGTACCTAGGAAACAGGGCGTCCGCTCCACGTTACCCCGGGGCCGACGGGACCAGGCCGCCTGTGCCAAGCGGCGCTCCGCCTCTCACCTCTGGTCGCTGGAGAGACGGCAAACCATCGTCTCCGGCTTCTCCGAGTTTCCGAAAGTTACGAGGAAGGTGGCTCCTTAGGGTACAAAAACCAACGTGAGAACACAACCAGCCCCTCCCCCCCGCCGCCCCCTAGCCCAGCGAGGCCAGCTCCGAGGGAGACGGGACGCAATGAGACCAAGTGAGACGACAGTGGTGGCTGTGCCCGCGGGTCCCCCCGGTGAGGTGGCAAGGCCACGACGGAGGAAAGGGGCAGAGGTAATGCCCAGGGGACTGTCGGGGGAGGGGGGTCTGCGCACCCTGAAGGTTCCTCGTAACGTTCCATCTGTCCCCCAAAGGCCCTGGGGACCCCAACCCAAGAGCACGGAGCCCCCCCCCCCCCACGCTCCGGGAGCACCCAGGGCAGGACTGGAACAGGGCCAGGGGCGGCAGGGACACCACGGCGGGCCACAGGGAGGAGGGGGCTCGGCCCTCAGAAGCCCGTGGAGCTCACCCTCAGACGCCACTCACACCCCAACACGGCCGGTGGAAGGTCCCACCCGTGTCACAGGGACCCCGTGTCTGTGGCCCCGCACCCGACGGATGTCCCAGCTACTGGCCCCCAATCCGGCGGATTCAAGCCGCCTTCTAGGCTGCACCCTTGTTTCTGTAGAGAGGGAGGCTCTATCCTTCTACGGAATCCGGAAGGGAATGGGGCCAGAGCTCTTCCAGGCCGCCCGCCGCACGGACCCCAGGACCCTGGGTGTCCAGGGCCGACCCGGGCTTACCGCTCAGGAGCACCTTGAGCTGCTTGTCGTAGAACTCCGCCTCCTTGTGCGACACCAGGGCGCACTCGGCACACTGCCGCACGGGGTCCACGAAACACATGCGCCGCAGTGGCACCTTCTGGCCGCAGCACTTGTCGCAGAAGCACCTCCCACACCGGCGACAGTGGTGCTGCGGACCCAGGGGTGGTGCTGAGGGGACAGAGGACTGCCCTCTCCGCCCCCCGAGACCACCACCCATCTACACAGGCGGCCCCGTGCTGGTCTTCGCCACTGGAAGGAGGAGCTGCTAGAGCGCCGCGCACACGGCAGGCCGCCCTGCGTCCCGCTGCCCACCCGCCAGGACACCCCACCTCCGCAGAGGACGACCCCTCTTCGAGGACAAGACCGTGTGTGGCGGGTGCCCTGCACAGTCACACGGGCATGCACGCTGCGCTCGGGACCCAGGACTGAGTCCCTGTCTGCTATTCTCAGGCAGCCAGCAGGACACGCGGGTGCGTCACCCTCCCCCCAGAGGGGCTTGATGGAGGCCTGGGCCCCCCACCCGACGGCTTCAGCTCACCTTTCTGGTCAGGAAGTCAAACTTGGTGTCACACTGCATACATCTTGGGCACTAGGAGGGAAGGCCACCGAGTGTCAGGCCCCAACTCTGCGTGCTGCTGGGAGAGCCGTGCCCCCAGCCCACGCAGGGGTAGGGAGATGCGCCCCAGGCACAGCTGGGCTCAAGTCCGCGAGGCCAGGGGCAGGGAAGGAGCTCACAGGGCATCTTGGGGACGCCGGGGGCAGCGGTCAGAGCCCAAACAGCCACGCTAGGGCAGTCCCCTAAGGACCCCCAGCTCTGGTGCCGGAACCACGGATCCATGTCCCGGAAGGACCACATGATTCCACAGCTGGAACTAACCCGAAGCAGCCCAGGCACGTGAGCGCCACTTTCCACGTGAAGAAGAGGGTGGCGCAGCGGCCGAGCAGGGGACCGGCCCCCACGCGGGATGGCCACACGTGCGCCTGGACGAGGCTGAAGTGGGGTGTGGGATGATGCGGGTCTGAAGTGGGTTAAACGTGGTCGCCACCAGGCCTGGAGATGCTCTCGGATGCTCCTTGGAGTAAAGGTACCAGAGGGAACCGGCGAGCAGTGACGGGCACCCAGGCCCCACCGCGCCCAGAGGGAAGGGATGGTGGCACGGCGCCCGGAGGGCAAGCCTCCCTCACCCGGGTGCTCAGGGAACAGACTGAGTGCCAGCAGCCGTGCGACCAGCACTGAAGACCAGGGGCTCCAGATGCCACATCGTCACCAAAGGGCCGAGCTCAGGCGGCTTCTCTAACACAAGCCAAGAGTCGTTTCTAACTTTGCACGAGGCACCGACGGGCCATCCCGACGCTGATGAGTCTCAGCTTCCCGCGGCGGGAAAGCCCCTCCTGCCCCCCAACAGGGCACGGGGCCAAGTGCCCGCCGGGCGGAGGACTTCCGACCACGGGACAGCCAGACGGCACGTGACCGGAGCAAAGCCGTCAGCCTTGCCCGGCGGGGCCTGACCCCCAGCGTCCTCCCCTCGTCCCCACCGGCCGCCTTCTCTCCGCTCAGCCAGGGACACACTGGGCCCGCAGGGCAGCGGGGGCACGTGCCAGCCCGCCCCTCCCGCCGGTCACCTCTCCCCCGGCTCTGTGTGTCCCCCTCCGGGCCTTGGCCTCCTGCAGGCACACGAGTCGGGCAAGCAAGTAGCTCTGAAGAGATTCGAGTCTGAGCCAAGTGCGCTTGACTCTGTGTCGGTCCAGGGCAGAGTCCTGGGATGCTGGGACCCCCGGCCACACTGGGCCTTGGCACGTGTCCTTCCACGGTGGATGCCCTTTTCAGACACCACCCTGAGGCCAGACGGGCCCCGTGTGTCCTGTCCCTGCCCTGGGAGTGTTGGCGAAGCTTTTCGAGAGTGTGTGGGGACTAACACTTTCTTGTTACCACTTTGCTCTAAAGCTGCTTTCTGGACTTGGCCCACCCTGGCCTTCCAGAACCATCTACAGAGTCCCCACTGGCTTCAAGTATGAGCTGTGGCTGCTTCCACCTATCCCCTGCCTCAGCCTCTCCCTTTTGTGAGTCCTGGGACTCAGGCCTGGGAAGCGTGGCAGGGCCCCAGGCTCTGTGTGTCCCCCGCAGTGCAGTGCCAGCCACAGAATCCGTGGGAGAAAACCTCCAGCGAGGGGGAGACCGGAGAGGCCCAGCGGCCCGAAGCCCGCGTCGCTCCCAGGCTCCAGCGCCCGCTGGGGTCTCCCAGGCCGCCCCGCCTCGCTCCCTCTCCGGCAGCGCTAACAAAGACACGCGTACCGTAGGGCCTGTGTGTTTGGGTGAGTTGAACAACCAATTTTATCTTACTTTGCTTTTATTTCAGAGGGAGCGGGGCCGGGAGGGGCAGGGAATCCCAAGCAGGCCCCACAGTCGGTCCCACGACCCTGAGATCATGACCTGAGCCCAAACCAAGAGTCGGACGCTCAACCAGCTGAGCCCCCCGGGCGCCCCAAGGCCAGTTCTTACACGTGAGACAAGAGCCAGAACCGTGCTCCCTGAACCGTGTGACACAGGGCTTCACTGCTGCACCTGAGCGATGCAGGGAGTCAGAAAACTGACCCATCTTTACACAGGTCACTTTCTGATGATGTAAGAGGAGGCACTTTTAAAATTACCAACAGAGCATTTTAACACGAAGAGAATGAAAAACTAGGGCCCAAGAACCACTACCGTGTCTGGTAACCAAACCGCACCAAGGAACAGAGAGCACAGGTGCACAGCCGAGAGCAGCCCAGCGGGCGGCCCAGGCCCTGACAGCAGAGGCGGCGGTGCACCCCACTGAGCCTGAGACGCCCCCCCCCAAGCACACGGGGTGGGAGGGGCAGGAGCAGTGGGGGGCAAGTGGGGGCAGGGCCACCAGGAGTGACCCCGAGGACCCAACCTCTCAGGACCTGCTGCCTGAGCCTCTGGCCAGGCTGCTGGGCAGAGACAGACGCTGCCAGTGAGGGGCCCCGGGGACTCACGGAGTGCAGGGGGGGCGGGGACACGCGTACCCGGCAGGCAGGCCTGGCGGGCAGCGGGGCGGAAGCTGGTGGCGAGGAGGCACCACACACTCCCGAGGCCTGTGACTCGGGTGCTGGTTTGGTGGCGTCCCGGTGGGCAGCACGGGGTTGGGCCAGCGCAGACGCGGGCCGGGTGCCAGGGTGCCCGGGGCAACTCTTCAGAGCCAGCACTGGCCCCAGAGGGTCTCCCCTCAAAGTCTAAGTAGTTGGAAGAGGGGCGCCTGGATGGCTCAGTCGGTTGCGTGTCTAACTCTTGACTCTGGCTCAGGTCGTGTTCTCAGGGGTACGTGAGCGGGAGCCCTGAACCCGCTGGGAAATCACACCGCTCTCTGCCCCTTCCCGCACGCGCCCACACCCACTGGCTCTCAAAAAAATTTTTTTGATGGAAAATACAGAATTTGGAGAGTGTAAAGGAATGTCAAAAACGAAGCTACTGTGGGGCGCCTGGGTGGCTCCGTCAGTTAAGCATCCGACTGCGGCTCAGGTCATGATCTCCCGGTTTGTGGGTTCGAGACCCACGTCGGGCTCTGTGCTGACTGCTCAGAGCCTGGAGCCTGTTTCAGATTCTGTGTCTCCCTCTCTGCCCCTCCCCTGCTCATGCTGTCTGTCTGTCTCTCTCTCTCAGAAATAAAACATTAAAAAAAAAAGCTACTGTAACAAAAGAGCCTGGGGACACCTGCACACCCTCCCTGGGGGCCCAGCACCCCCTGCTGGCTGGAGCCAGGCCCCGAGGCTCCGTGTCTTAGGTTCCTCAGATGCAAACAAATCCAGAAAATAAGTCTTAACGATATATGTACTGGGGTGCCCGGGCATCGGGCTGTCGGCACAGAGCCTGCTTCGGATCCTATGAGCCTCTCCCTGCCCCTCCCCACCCTCTCTCAAAAAAAAAATTAAATAAATCTTAAAAAAATGTTTTAAACAAAAAATACATGTATTAATGTATCTTTATTGAAAGATAATACTTCCTATAGAATAAAAAAACTCCTTCTAAAATATAAAGTGACTCATCTTGAAGATTTAACTCCTTAATTAGCGAGGGGACCAGTAAACTGTTACAAACCCAGCTCAAGAGAGACACAGGAGGTCCTGGGGCGAATGTGACAGTGGATGCAGAACAGCTGGCATCACAGGCGACAAGGGCTCCTCTGTCCCTGTGTCCCCACCAGACCCCATCACAGACGCAGCTCCCCCAGACACAAGCACGCCCTGGGAAGAAGTAAGTGCTGGGCCTGCCCGGTGCCCCTGAGGACCCTCCGCTCCGTGTCCCCCAACACCAGAGGGTTCTGCGCAGCCACAAGGGCCCAGCGCTCCCAGGATGAGGGGGTGTGCTCTGGGGTCCCCGAGCCGGGGTGAAAGACCCCCCCATCCTGTGCCAGGAAGGTTCCTGCAGAGGACCCCCTTGCCGTGTGACCTCGATGACTCAGTTGCCCCAGATCACCCGTGACAATGCTGCACATGGACCCCAAATCCCCATTTTCACCCTGTTCTCGACCGGCTGTCCTGTTTATCCAGACCCATCAGTCAGAACTAGATGCCCATTCACCTCACTTGCTCAAACAAGTCAAGCTTCTCTCCTTCCTTCAGCCCATGGGTGACAGCTCACCCTCACCTGCAGCAGGCGGACCTGGGGCGCTGCAGCCCCTGAACGCAGGTCACACAGCCGCGACCGCGCTGAGCCCACGCCTCCCCCTTCCCACCGCTCTCTTCCAGCCCAGGTCCCTCCCCACACAAAGCAGTTCCTTGTCCGGCGGAGACAAGGGGCAGATCCCCAGGTCTCGGGGTCCCCCTCCAGCACCAGCTCCTCCCCCTGCCCACAACAGGCTCCCCCAACTTGGGATTTGGTTTTGATCTGACACACTGCTCTCTTCCCGCTTCCGTGAGACGTCGGAGCTGCCATCGTCGCTGTTTGTGCCCGGCGCTGAGGATGGGAGGGAGGAGAGCGCAACTGCAGGGTCTCACGGCCTCGAGCCCAGCGCCCAGCCCCAGGCTCCTCCTCCCGCCACGCCTCCCAGCCCCAGGCTCCTCCTCCCGCACAGGCTCCTCCTCCAGCCACGCCCCCAGCCCAGGCTCCTCCTCCAGCCCCAGGCTCCTCCTCCAGCCACGCCTCCAGCCCAGGCTCCTCCTCCAGCCACGCCCCCAGCCCCAGGCTCCTCCTCCAGCCACAGGCTCCTCCTCCAGCCACGCCCCCAGCCCCAGGCTCCTCCTCCAGCCACGCCTCCAGCCCAGGCTCCTCCTCCAGCCACGCCTCCCAGCCCCAGACTCCTCCTCCAGCCACAGGCTCCTCCTCCAGCCACGCCCCCAGCCCCAGGCTCCTCCTCCCACCACGGCCTCCCGAGGCCCACAAGCCACCAGGGAGGCACGGACTGTGCACCCCCGGCACCCAGCAACTGTTATTTCCGGGCAGGAGGCCCTCTGGGAGCCCGGGAGCGCGCGCACACGCACACGCACGCACGCGCGCGCGCACACACACACACACACACACACACCACCCCGGAACACTTTCACGGGACGTCCCTGCGGGCCCACGCTACCAGGCTGGCGCAGGGCCAGACGCCTAGTAAGTACCGCAGACGTGGAACCGGCCGGCCTCAGGGTGACCCGATGGAAAACGGAGCCACGATGAGACACGGAGGACCATCCACAAATAGGTCGTCGACGCCAACCGGCAAACAAGAAGCGGGTGGAGGCTGAGGGTCTGTGTCGCCCTCCTGCCCCTCACCCGCCCCGAACAACCACAGATTCACCCGTTCTCGCTGCCGCCGCCGCCGCCGCCGCCATCCCCACGCCCAGCACAGAAGGTCCCGGTGTCCCACGCGCACGGAACAGGCAGAGAGCAGCTGGGACCAGACCAGTGGCAGAGGAGCTGCCCCACCCCCCTTCTCGGGAGCTCCGGAAGCTCCCAGTCCGTGCTGCCCCAGGCCGTTTCTTTTCCAAAAGAACACGCTAACTAACCTCTGGCCGCTTGGACCAGACCCCAGTAGGCTTCAAATCTGCTTCGTTTACGAAACTCACAGAGGCCCACCCCGCCGGCCCCTCCTCCCCCAGGCTCCCTGGAAGGCCTCTGGCTGGCCCTTTCCGCAAGGGGTGGGGTGCAGGGGGCCTCCGAGGGGCACTCGCTACCCTTCCTACATGGAAAGGAAACCTCCCGCTAAGGAAGGAACCAATTCAAACAGATCGAGCCATCTTCGCCAGCACCGCTGGCTTCCTGCCATCAACTCCGGCCCGAAAACACAGGCACTTCTCCGGGAAACACCACTGGGCTTGGGGAGAGGGCTCACGGAGCCGGAGCTGTCACCCCAGCCGCTGACCCGGTGTGCAGAAGCGGGGGCAGGGGGGCCGCGCCTCCGCCCGGACCACCCTAGTCGGTGGGTTCTCGAGGACGCGCACCAGGTCCCGTGCGGTCGGAATTCCGCAGGGGGCCAATCCGGGGCAGAGACCCCTGCGCGGCGGGCTTGGCAACGCGGGAGAAGCGCTGAGCCCAGCACTCCCTGACCACCGGCGATGTGGCCACAGACTAAGTGCCAGAGGCTCCAGGCCTCCCTCCCCTCAACCCTGCAGGAGTAAGCAGTTCCCCTCCCGTGCACTTCCCCGCGTCGCTCCCTACGATTCCGACTTCCCCGAGCACAGAAACACGTGCCAGCCTCGGTAACCTAGGAAGGAAGGAACTCTGTGCACTACTCATCTAAGAGGAAAACAACGTAGCCCTTTATCTTTATTTTCCCACAGCACTAACCAGGGAGACCAAGTGGGGAAGTACGTGTGTCAGTTCAGAGTACCGGCACCAGGAGTAAAAGCGCACAGAATAAAGCGCACAAACAGGGCAAGTGGGGAGGGAAGGGACCGGGACCCTGCGGCGGGGAGGGCAGGGGCTGCGGCAGAGAGGGCGGGGAGGGGTGGGAGGTGGCGGCGGGGAGGGCGGGGTCGCGGCGGGGAGGGCAGGAGGGCAGGGGCGGCGGCAGAGAGGGCGGGAGGGAGGGAGAGGTCGCGGGGGCAGCGGCGGGGGGAGGGGGGTGCGGCGGCCGCAGGGCCTCTCCTCCCCGCCGCCCCTCCCCCAGCTCCTGCGCCGGCCGGCCTCGCCTCGGACACCTGATTTCACTCCGGTGCTGACAGCCTGCCGCCTGTAACTGCGGTTCTCGGGGAGGAAGGAAAAGCAGTTTATCAGGACGCAGGGACGCTTGTCACTTAAAGCGACTCAACAGTCACGGTGCGCTGACTTCTTTAGGACGGATCGGATCTACAGGAACGCACGGAGCTCCTGCCCATGGCCTCCGGAGCTGAGAGCTGCTGGCTCATGGGATCGGGTCCAAACCCCCTGGCCTGCCACCCAAGGGCCTTCAGAAGGTGCCGCACCCACCCCGCCCACAGGACAGCTCACGGCCTGCCCAAGCCTCACCCCTCGAAGCAGGTGCGGTGCCCCCACAGGGCGCCCTCCTTCCTGTCCGTCTGCAGCCTCCTTCTCGAAGCCCGCACTCCGCGCAGCCCCCCACCCCCACCCAGAGCGCGCCGCCTTCTAAGGAGGCGAAGGCCTCTCCTCCGCTCCCCCCACGGGGCAGGGGCAGCGACGGCGTCTCAGGGGCTCCAGCTCTGCAGCTCATCCAATGCAAGTGGAACTCCCACACGACCTCGCAGGTGGGCAGAGACCCGGGCAGAGCGGGAGGGGCGGTCCTCGCGGGGCGCACCTGAGTGGGGGGTGGGCGAGCCTGGGCGCGTCCCAAGAGGAAACCAGGCAGAGGGCACTGGTACCCAAGGCCCCGGGAGGGCTGGAGCGCGGTCAGCGGGAACCACGGGTACAGAGGGCGGCCGTGGGGGGCCCCGGAAGGGCAGCAGGAGCCAGAAGAAGCGTTTCGGGGGGCCCGGGTCGGGGCGCCAGGGAGGCACGACTGGCCTGGGATGCGGACTGGGGAGCCTAAGCCTCGGAAGGGGATCCTGGGCGCGGAGGGGGGCCTCGGGCGAGTGAGGCGCGGACGCGGGGGTCTCGGCCAAGCAGGGCGCGGACTGGGAGCGGGAAGCTGGCGGGCGGCGGCGACCTACCTCCTTATCCGGGACCCATTGCGGCTCCTCCAGGCCGAAGGGGCTGCCAAAGGCGCGGTGCTCGGGCACCATACGCAGGCCGCTCGGGGAGCGCACCAGCTTCTTGGCGTCGCGGCGCGCGGCCACCTCGGAGGACATGACGCCGCCACAGCGATCGCCCCGCGGCCCGGGCCCTCGCCCCGTCAGGAGCCCCGCCCCGCCCGCGTGGATGACAACGGCCACGTCCAATCGTCACGCCCGTCCTGGAGCGCGAGCCAATAGGTGCCCGGGATCCGCCCCATTGCTGAGCTGTTCAATCCGCGCAATGGCACCTCCCCGGCCACTCCGCGGTCCGTCACCAATCAGCAGTAAGGACCCGCCCAGTAACGCCCCGCCCTCTCGGGGTGATGGAGACTTTGGATTGGTCAGGTAGTCTGCGACGTATGCTGTTTCCTCTCCTATTGGCGAATCCAAGGAGGGGCGCTCGGCTCTCATTGGAAGAGGAGGTTGTGGGGGGCGGGGCAGCGCTAAGAGGCGAGCGGAGCGCGCGCAGGGTGAGTGGCGGCCTGTGGGGCTCGCTGCGTAGATACGGGGCGCGAGGTAGCGAGTCGTGCACACCTTCGAAGGCCGCGGGGCGCGGTGGGGACAGCGGAAGCCGGGGTCCTGGCGGTGGGAAGGAAGGTGGGCTCGGAAGCCGGGGCGCGGGGACAGCAGAGGCCCGCTCTCGGGGCTGTCGCCCGCAGGGACCGGAGCGGGACGCCGCGTCGCAGGGACAGCCGGGGTCACGGCGGCGGGCTGGGGGCCGTGGGGTGAAAGGTGAGCGAGGGCTGCATGAAGTTGGGGTGTGCAGGGATGGGGGCGGGCGGGGTCCAGGTGGACGGCCACGGAGCCGGGAGTGCATCGCCGCCACGGCAGGTGTGCCTGGGAGCCATAGTGGGTCTTCAGCGCGACCCCGTGTCGTGGGTTCGGCCAGGGCTGGGGTCTGCGGGACCCCCAGGTGTGGAGGAGCCGCTGGGGGGACGAGGCAAGATGGTTCAGGGACTGGGAAGGGAAGGGGCTCTCAAAGGAGGAAGAGCGTCCTGAGAAGGGACGGGGGCCCAGGTGTCCAGGCCAGGCCGCTCCGGAGAAACCGCAGCGGTGGCCCAGGCCCGGCCCCCGAGGTCACCGGGAACAGCTCCCTGCCCGCAGCGCTCATCGGCCCCTCCGGGGAAGGGAAGCCAGAAGAGATGCCCAGTCTGGAGCGGGAGCTGCCCTCACCCAGGAGGCACCCCGCAGGCAGGAGGGCAGGGACTGGGCGGCTCCTGTGGGATTTGTTAACAGGTGGGTCAGGAAGGTGGGGCATACAGCGGGGACCACATCCCACTGGCTGGTTTGGTGGGAACCAAACGTCACACACACCACCAGCCCCCCCAGAACCTTCCATACACTGAGAGCTCCTTTGGAGCTGGTCACGGTCCCCACCGCCTCTCCCTGTGTGTAGCTGCCACTGGGGCCCTGTGTTTGGGCGCCTCTTTCTGACGGTGACCCAGCCGACCTCCTCCAGTTTGCAGTCTTGGTGGCCAACGAGGGGGGGCGGGGCTAGGTGTGTCCTGCCAGCCTCGCCTGGGAGCCCCTGCCTCCTGCCCCACCCCAGGCGTCAGGCTCCTGTGCTGTCCTGGGTGTTTTGGATTTCTCCTTGCCAGACCTGTGTTCCCTGACTGGCCTGTGAATGTGACCGTGCGGATGGCCCGCTTCTCGGAGCTCCAAAATCAACCTGATGTTGTCCAAATCAGTAACACTCTAAGCACTTACAAGGGGAGGCGACTTTCCGACCTTGCTGGTGGACCTTGGCCCTGGGTTCAGCCTGAGTGGCTGCTGGCCTTGGTGCTCCCGCACGTCCTGTGCATGCTCAGCCTTGCTGATGCAGGAGGCCAAGAGGGAGGCAGTGGCTTGCTGGAGAGTTTCAGGGTGGCCCTGGGCTGAGCGGGACAGCCAGCAAGGGCTGGGTTGGGCTCCAGTCCCCACAGCATTTAGTGCTTGCTCCCAGCCTCGGAAGGGCTGCTGGCCGTGAGAGGGGCGGGGGCCGGCGGGACAGTCCCCATCCTTCTCTGCTGAAACAGCTCAGGGGGTGTGGGGATTCAAAACTCACTTTTTCCATTCTTTCCAGATCCCTGTGGGACACACTTCTGCCAAATGCACCAGACTCTTAGTTCGCGTGAGCCTAGTGTGCATGGTCTCCGCCTGTGTGCGTCGTCCTCACCCAAGAGGTGGATCAAGGCAGGGTGCTCACCCGAATGCCAGGTCTCAGGGCCAGGACTGCAGGTGGGAGCGCATGCTCACTTCTAGCACTTTCTGCAGGGGAGGGAATGGGGGCTGCCTTGCACTGCACTGGCCTTTGGAGTGGGGGTGTCTGGGGGGACGTTTCGTCAGCCACGTCACCGTGCGGATTGAGCCTTGGTTTCTGTTACCAAATGGCCCCTCTCACCGAAGTGTAACCCTGCACTTACTCCAGTGGCTTTCCTGGGGCAGCAAAGTCTCTCCTCCAACCTCAGGGCTGACGGTGAACCCCTGTCACAGGGGGGACTGCACACCCAGGTGACGGTCACTCTGCATTGCTCTGCTCCTGGGTGGTTTGCGCTGACAGCAAGCACATCGGAATTTGTGTCCCTAGGAAACCATTTGTTGTTGCGGTCCCACCTGCTAAAGAAATGGATTTGGATCAGTTGGACCTGAATCCCAGAATTACTGCTGCAGCCAAGAAAGGTGTGTTTGCGGGTGTTCATGTAGAGTAGATGCACGAAGCACACAGATGAACTCACGCATTGTGTGCATGAGACACGTTGGCAAGGCTGTCTGTCAGTCCCCTTCCCCAAGCAGCTGCTCCTGCTTAGTAAGCAATGCTGAAACGTGCTGAGGGTTTCCAGGGGTGCGTGCGTGTGCACGCACGTGTGTGTACGCACCTGAGGACTTCCTTAAAGTTAAATTTTATTTTCATCAAAGTAATATTTTATTGTCTAAAAAGTGAAATGAAGCTACTTACACAGCTTACGAGTCTTTTAGCAATTTCTTTGTATTTATATTTGGACTTCTAAATGACATGCTTCCATTGCTGTGTTCCACATGCCAGTGTCCCCAGTCACGCATGGAGTGCCTGTGACAGGGATGAGGCCTGGCATGCTGGTGCACCTGCTTCGGCCCCTCCCCACAGCTGGGGCATAGTGTGGGCCCTTCAGGCTGTGGCTGAGAACATGATTAGTGCTGCCGAACTGCCAGGATATGACGATTTCCTTTCTTGTTCCACTTTTGTTATTTTCCCCCAAAGTTTGTAGTTGCCCTGTGTTTTCTGTGTATGTCTCACTGTCTCTTCCCACATTATCCGGTATGTCAGGTACAGGTACCTCTTTCTTAAAAATGCCCAGAGGGGTGAGCCGGACAGCCCACCTACCTTCCCCAGCTGCCCCCACCAGCAGGTGTGCGGGGACTCCCGTCTCCGTCCCCTGGGCCACGACAGAGAAGCCTGCTGCCCATGCAGTGTGGAGGCGCAGTGCCCGGGGACCGGGGCAGCTAGTTGGTGGCATCTTCCTGGGGTAGTACCTCTGCTGCTTCTTTGCCCTTGGATCATGGTCCTTTCGGAGCCTTTCCGTCATCTTTTGCTTTTCCCTTTGGTCTAGTTTGTCTGTCTGTCTTTTCACTGGAGCGTTCAGTGCACGTGTATTTAAGGTAATTACTGGCACATTTGGGTCTAACTCGCTCTCATCATGCGGAGCTATTTATCCTGTTGCTTTTTGTTTTGTTTTCTCTTTTTTGCCTTCTGGGTCTGTTGGATAGATTTGTTAGCACACTTTTTTCCTACTGGTTTGAAAACAATGTACTTCTCCGGGCGCCTGGGTGGCTTAGTCGGTTAAGCGTCCGACTTTCGCTTAGGTCATGATCTTGCGGTTCGTGGGTTCGAGCCCCGCATCGGGCTCTGTGCTGACTGCCAGCTCAGAGCCTGGAGCCTGTTTCAGTCTGTGACTCCCTCTCTCTCTGACCCTCCCCTGCTCACGCTCTCTCTCTCTCTCTCCTAGAAATAAATAAAACATAAAAAAAATAATAAAAATGAAAATAATGTACTTCTCCAAGCCCCAAATATATCCACTCTCCTCCCAAAGTATCAGATCTTCTGGATATGCTCACTCTGTAACCCTCCCCCCGCCCCCTGCTGTTACCACTGGCCCTGTAACCGTCACGCTGGCCTTGCCGGCCCGGCTTTCTGCCGCAGTGGACACTTGTTTGGAGCCTGATTCGGGCCCCTTCCTGCACCCTCCCGCACCTACGCTTCTCACCCTGCCCCGGGGTCACCCTCAAGCCTTGCCCTGGTGGCGGCATGCTCTGGGCACCTGGCAGAGGCCCCTCCCCAGCTCTGGCACCCATCACTGCAGCAGAGGCCCCGGCCCTCCCCACTGCCGTCACCACGCTGTCCAGGGGCTCCCATGGCTTCAGGTGGTGAACGGATCTGGTGCCTGCCTGCCGGGTCCCCAGGACTGGAAGACCGTGTTCCCGCAAACACCCCACTGTTGCCATGTTGCCCTGTGTTACTGTAGCCTGAACTGGTCCGTTCCATATTTGTATCATTTCAGCCAAACTGAAGTCAGTAAAGGAGGTTTTGCATTTTTCTGGACCAGACTTGCAGAGACTGACCGGCCTCTCCAGCCTCGACGTGCAGCACTTGCTGAGAACGGCCTCCTTGCACGTGCGGGGAGGCAGCATCGTCACAGGTGGGCACTGGGGGTGGTGGGGCATTTGCTCTGCCTGTGCCCTGGGGGGCGGGGTGGGGGTTAATGCAGGGCCTGGGTCACGGCATCATGACAGGGACACAGCAGGTGTACCGGGGAGGGGGGAGGTGCTGGGGGAGCCAGAAGGGATGGGACCAGGCCAGGCAGTGCGGGAGGCAGGGGTGGGGTGGCAGTCAGAGCCCAGAGCCCACGGGCGCCCACAGAGCACAGCAGCTAGAAGCTTCCACGCTCGCCTCCTCCCTGCCTTCTGGCACCAAGGTGACCAACGCCCCCTGTGCCCCCAGCTCTGCATCTGCACCAGCAGAAGAAGAGGTTCCCCGCGCAGCACCAGCGCCTGAGCCTGGGCTGCCCCGTGCTGGACGGCCTTCTCCGCGGCGGCCTGCCCCTGGACGGCGTCACCGAGCTGGCCGGTCACAGCTCTGCCGGGAAGACCCAGCTGGCCCTGCAGCTCTGCCTGGCCGTGCAGCTCCCGCCGCGGCACGGAGGCCTGGAAGCCGGTGCGTGGCTGTCCCCTGGGGGCGGGGGCCGGGTGGGGGCAGGTGGGGGTCCCCGCTGAGGGCATCGGGCCCAGGCCCTGTCTTCCTCCGCGTTCCGCCCGAGGGAGAGGGGTGGGCCTGATGGCTGTGGGCCCCACAGCCTGTCCTCCGTAGAGTGACCCCAGGGACAGCGTTCAGCGGGGCACAAGGTCCCCCTTCTGCGTTCTCACGCGCGCGCCCCCGCCGCCAGCCTGCAAACCATTTGGTCCACAGAGCCGGAAACCCCAGGCAGACATTTTCCCCTTCTTCCCTTTCGGGGACGGAGCGGGCAGGACGGGTCCCTGGCACCGCTCGCCTTGGTCCGTGTGCACAGGGCGTGTGGCGGAGGGACTTCCCGGGCTGCCTGTGCGGGTCCCTCAAGCCTGAGCTACTTATGCTGCTCTTGCTAAACGTGAGGTGCGGGAGCGGGTGGGACGCAGCCTAGAAGCTCCTCCGTGAACGTTCGCGGTTCGTCCCGAGCTCACCTGCTCGCCGGCTGCCTGGCAGGCGGGGCCACGCGGGCTGGCCTGGGGACGCAGCGGGGCCAGACCTCCCGCCTCAGGGACCTGCTGGCCGCTGGGACCCGCGCGCGGCGCTGGCAGCAGGGGACTCGGTCTGGAATCCCTCCTGCACTGGGAGCTCTGAGCAGCGGGGTCTGTGCTGTCCCGTGAGCCCCCGAGGCAGGCACTCTGGCCGCGGGCAGGGGTCCCCTGACCGCACGCGAGGGTTTCCCACCGCTGAGGCGGGCTTTGTGTCGCTCCTCCCCCTGCTTCCCTGGGCGAGGGTGCAGGCGCCCGGCACCGGTGCTGGGTGGGCGGACTTGGCCTTGGAAGAGGGTGATCAGTTTACCCCACGAAGAGCTGTGTCTCGTGAGGCCAGACTGGAGTCTGCGCAGAAATGAGCAGGAGCCCCCCTCCCCCCCGCCCTGCGTCCCTGGTGCAGCCTTTCGCCCAGAGCTCACCATGTTCGCCTCTGTGGGGGCCCCAAGCCGGCCGGGTGTGGAGCGCAGGGCTGGCCTTCCCGTCTGGACCCTGATGCTCCCAGCCTGGTCATTTGTACTCCGCGATGGCCTGTGACACTGGCCCCGCCAGGTCACGGCAGATCCGTTTTCTCCTGGAAGGGTCACTGAGCAGGTCCCGTTAGCAGGGACATTAGCAGGTCCCGTGGGTGTCTGCTCAGGCTGGATCCAGGCCAGGTGTGTGGCCTCCGGGAGGCCCTCCGGGCAGGGAGGGGCGCCGCAGGGGGAGACACGGCCGGACGCCCCGCTGCCTGCAGGCTCGCTCTCACCCAGGGCCCTGCTGCTGGGAGAAGCCGCCCCGTTTGCCCAAAGCTGGCTGGAGGGTCTCACTCCCACCCCTCACTGTGCAGCCCGGGGCCTGTTCTCTTGGTGACAGTCACATCAGGGCACTGCACTGGGGACCCGGGCCTGTGCTTCCTGCCTCCCGCGCGGAGCCCCGTGTCTGCCAGACACAGGCAAGGACGCCAAGACTTGGAGCAGGTGGACGCGAGGCTGTGAGGAGCCGAGCTGCTGGGTGGCCAAGGAGGCCCTGGGCAGAGCGCGGGAGCCCGCAAGAGGGCAGCTGCAGAGAGGCAGCCCCAGACGTGACCGTCACAGTGGCACGGGGACCCGGAGACAGCCTGGCGTCTCAAGAGGTGTGCCCCCTGAGGTGGCCCCAAGGTTACCGTGACCTTAAATGTTGGGTCCAATGTGCCCCTTGTCCTGAGAAAGTAACTCCTTTTCCCTGGATCCGATCCAAAAGCCCTAATTTTGAAAAGGAAGGCACGGACGCTCTGGACTTGTTTGGAATCCTGCATGTGACACGGAGCCTGTCACCCAGGCCACCATCTGCTGGGGCTGCCTCTCCCAGCAGTGCACCCGCAGGAGTGAAGGGGCTTTGGGGCTGCACAGGAGCAGACTTGGCTTCCTTTGGAACCTTCCGTCTGGCCCTCCCTCCTGTCTCTCCCGGTTTGCCGGGCAGCATTTCCCCTGCCCGCGGCCTGGGATGTGCGGAGGTTAAGGGGACACCGGTGGTCAGGAGCTTCCTGCTGACGGACGTGGAGGTCCTCGCCCTGTGGTGTATCTGCCTCTAAGTTTGAAATTCCGCCGGCACAAAACGAGACCGAGATGAAGAGTGGGGGGCGCCTGGGGGGCTCAGTCACACGAATGTCTGACTTCGGCTCAGGTCATGATCTCGCAGTCTGTGAGTTCCAGCCCTGAGTCAGGCTCTGGGCTCTCAGCACGGGGCCCGCTCTAGGCTCTCTGCCCGCCCCCCGCCCCCCGTGTGCGTGCTCTCTCCCAAAAATGAATAAACCTTTAAAAAACTAAGCATTGAAAAATATATATTAGAACATGAAATGTGAGGCACACATATGGGGCCACGCACACTGGTGTGGGGCCGGGACTCTTGGCCGCATCCCCTCCCCAGGGCCCTGTGGTGACTGATGGGGCCTGGGGCGGGAGGGCCGCGGGGGTCCCGGCCATCCTGGGGGTCAGCGCTCCATCAGATCACCCGCCATTTCTTTTTTGAAGATTGAGAATGTAATTCACACACCGTGAAATTTACTCTTCAGACAATTCAGTGTATTTTAGTATATTCACAAAACTGTGCGTCCATCACTGCCAGCAGATTCTAGAACATTCCATGACCCCCAGAAGAAACCCTGCCCCATGTGCAGCCCTTTCCCAGGCCCCTGGCAGCCACCGTTCTGCTGTCTGCCTCCTGCCTCGGGGTTTGCCTGTTCTGGACTCACGTAGATGGAGTCACACGCCGTGAGCTTTTCTGTCTCTTCTCCCACTTGGCGTGCTTTCAGGGTTCGCGGTGTCGGAACACATGTCAGCACTTTGTTCCTTTCCGTGCGCGGGCAGGACTGCCATGAGTGCGGATCACGTCTCTTCGTCCCCCATCTGTCCCAGGTCACCCGGCTGGTTTCCGCTCCCGGTTTGGTGCACAGCGCGTGCTGGGCCGCGGCGCGTGGCTCCCGTGAGCAGATGCAGACTCTGTGCCGAAGTGTCCGGGGAGCTGCCACCCCCCACCCCCCGCGACAAGGCCCTCGCGTCCTCGCTAACACGTGTCATCTTGGTTGAGCCATCCCCGCGGGTGTGAGGCCACGCCGTGGATGGGACGGGGGGCGGCGGGCACGCAGATCTCTCCGTGGCCTCGCTGGCCGTGTGCGTGCTTCCTGTGGGGAAACGTCTCCTCGGAGCCTTCTGTGGCCGACGTAAGACTTGCTCGTGTGATCGGCCGCCGGCCTCTCCTCAGACACGTAACCCACGTGTTTTGCGCAGGGCGTCTCCTCGGTTTCTTGCCGGGATCTTGTGATCAGCTCCTCCCCGCTCTGCTCACCGTGCTGTCTGTGCGCGAGGCCCCGCCGCCCCGTGTTTCCTCGGGAGCGTGAAAGTGTTGGTTCTGGCGTCCAATGGGCGGGTGGCGTCTTTTGCAGGGGGTGAGGGGAGCCTGACCGCGTCCCAGCAGCCTCCGTGGGGTCAGGCCCCCCCTCACCGCACTGTCCTGCGGCCTCTGTTGGAAATCAGTTGCCACAGACGTTAGGGTTCTTTTCTGACGGTCCCCAGTTCTTTTCGGCGGACTCGGGGTACACTGATGCCGGGGAGCCCGGTCCCGGCCGGGGCGTCGCCCCAGGGTGTTCAGGTTTACTGGCTTTTCCTGTCACAGCAGCCCAGGATCGTAGGAGCAGCCTCAACAGCAGAATGTGGGAAACGTGCGCCCGGTGGAGCCTCTGAGGGGAACGCAGCCGCGGGCGGGGGGCGGAGGGGGTGCTGCACGTGCAGGGGGCATTTCTAAAAGCCACGGGCCCTGGTGATCCCACTCACTTCCACTAGAGACAGGCTGGGGGCAGCCCCCGGGGTGGCGTCCGGTCAGCAAGGGGGCCGCAGCGGGGACCAGCCCCGCGGAGGGAGGCGGCAGGGCTGCCGGCTGAGCCCCGTGCCGCCCCCGCGCCGCCCCAGGGGCCGTGTACGTCTGCACCGAAGACGTCTTCCCGAACTCGCGTCTGCAGCAGCTCATCGCTCAGCAGCGGCACCTGCGGGCGGACGTGCCAGGAGAGGTGATCGCCAAGGTCAGGTTTGGCAGCCAGATCTTCATCGAGCACGTGGCCGACGTGGTGAGTGTCCTCTGAGTCCTCTGGCCCTGAGTTCTGGGGCTGACGCTGGCGGGGTGGGCCAGCGGACAGAGCCGCACGCACAGCACCGGGCCGCCACCCGCACCCTCACAGTGGGTGGCCCTCAGTCCCCTCAGGAGCAGGGGACACCACGTGGTCACCGCCCAGGGGACCCGACCAGCTGTCCAGGCCAGCACAGTCTGTTTCGGGTTTTACTTCCAGGTCGAACGGAGCAAAAAGCCCGTCAGAGCACAGGAGGCCCCGCCCAGCTGCTCCACTGCGGGGGCGGGGGGCACGCGTCTGGAAGCGTCCCCAGTGACAGGCCCCCTCCCTGCGCACGGAAACCCCCAGGGAGAGGGCAGGGGTGCTCCGACCGGGTGCGGTGCTCAGCTCCGATCGGTGTTTGAGGGCGGGTCGAGTAACTAGTGGGAAAGATTCAAAAGTTGAGGATAAACCCCTACAGCCGGGGGAAGAAAGGTAAAGAAAGCCCCTGCGTGGGGTGGGGCCCCTCCTCGCCACCCGCCTTCCCAAGTGCGCCACTGGGCAGAGTCCCCGGTTCCCAGGGGGCCTTCCCCCCACTTGGGAATTGCTGTAAAAACTACAAGTAAAGGATAAGGCGTATAAACTTTTAATTTTTAAAAAAATTTACAATAGAACATCTCACACGCAGCTTCGGGCAGTAACACGGTAAGACCAGGCACACGGGCCGGGCGACCAGTGCCGCTTCCACGTACGGTTAGGACACGGGCGGCCCGGGAGGGAGGCTGCGCCCACCCCGTCGCCCTGCGGGGCTCAGCGTGGGCCATGGCTTTGCAGGCGCCGCGTCCTGGTGAGCGCTGTGGTTAGTAGGACCGTGTGCTCCGGGGCGCGGGGACACGGGAGACGAGGTTAGTGCTGCAGGCTCTCAGCTCCAGGGCCCTCCAGCCTTGGTGACCGTCCCGGGCTGTCACAGGGCAGGCTCGGGCTGCACACCAGCAGTGATGTCCCGGGTCCTCCAGGGCTGGCGGGGCTTCACTGCAAGAGAAGGCGGCGGTCAGGGCCGGGGCTGCGAGGCTGCCCTGAGAACAGCTCTGGGTGCACGAGGCGTCCGCCCTCTGCCCGGCGTCGGCCTGGAGACGGGGGGCCTCCCGGGAGCCCAGGGCCCTGCCCTTTCTGCACAAGCAGGGCCTCGGGGCTGCGGTCCCTGCCTCCAGCTCCTGCGGCAGGGGGCCCCTGGGCCAGGCCTCTCTCGGAGTCCTGGCCCCGCAGGGAGCCAGTGCGGCCCACCTGCCCAGCCCCTAGGTGTCCCCAGCGCTGCCTGCAGTGGCGGAAAGGGGAGGGGACTCACATTAATGCTGGCGTCCTCGAGGCCACTGCTGCTGCCATCATTTTCCACAAAGAGAGGCTCTACTGAAGACGCCCTGGAGACGAAGCACAGAACTGGGTTCATTCAGGGCGGGGACCAGGCGCTCGGCTGCTCTTCTGCGGGGTGGCCAGTACGTGCTCGCGTGGCCCCAGGGCCTGAGGACGCCCGGCCCCACCCAGGAGCCCAGCCAGCGCTGCTCAGGGCACAGCGCTCAAGCCCTGCCCGGCTGCCCCTGGCCTCCCTCCACTGGGCAGGGGGCAGGGCTCGCGGCTGCCCCTAGACCCGCCTGACAGAGTACAGTCCCAGCGACCAGGGCGGGCGTGAGCCGGCCTTCTGGGATGGCAGCGCCCTAGTGCTCGTGCCTGGCACGGGGCCACCGGAGGATAAAGTGCCGGTCACTGCGACGGCCCTCGGGGGAGGGGCGTGAAACGGGAAGGCCGTGAGGGGTGTCAGCGCAGGACACAGGCACTGACAGCCGTCCCCCTCGGCCTCCAGGACGCCCTGCTGGAGTGTGTGCGGAAGAAGGTGCCTGTGCTGCTGTCTCGAGGCATGGCCCGCCTGGTGGTCATCGACTCCGTGGCGGCCCCGTTCCGCTGTGAGTTTGACGGCCCGGCCTCAGTCCCCAGGGCCAGGCGTCTGCAGGAGCTGGGGGCCACCCTGCGCCGGCTGAGCAGCACGTTCCAGAGCCCCGTGCTATGCATCAACCAGGTGGGTCCCGCCCCCCTAATGTCCTTGGCCTGGTTTTTAGGGAGGAAGTTCGGGGCTGGGGTCTGGGGGAGGGGCCTGCCGTTGGTGAGGCCGGTCGTGCTGGGCTGGGTGGTGGCTGACCCTGGTCTGGACCTCCCAGGTGACGGAGGCCGTGGAGGAGCAGGGCGCGGCACGCGGACCACAGGGGTGAGCCGGGCCCACCCCACGGACGGGACGGTGCGGGTGGCGGCGGTCCCCGTGGTTTTGTGAGTAACCGCTGGGCCCGTCTTCTGTCTCAGCCTCTGGGAGGAGCGGGTCTCTCCCGCCCTCGGAATCGCCTGGTCCAACCAGCTCTTAATGCGGCTGATGGTCAGCCGGCGCCGCTCCGAGGAGCAGGCCGGGCCCCCCGACCGCACGCTGCGGGTGATCTTCGCCCCTCACCTGCCCCCCTCATCCTGCTCCTACACGGTCCGCACGGAGGGAGTGCGAGGGACTCCCGGGACCACGGGCCCCTGACACGGCGGCGGCACGGTGGCCGGCCAGGTCCCAGGAAACCCGAGTCTGGCCGAGCCGTCCACACTCTGCAGGCACAGGGGCCGGGCGTCTGGACCCGGCACACCCGTCACTGGGTCAGGGTCCGCGTGAGGGGTTGGCTGCACCTTCTCAACGGCAGGAAGGTGGTGAGCACGGATGACCCGCCCGACGTGGCCTCCACACCCCACCTCCCCACCTCCCCCTGCGCTCGCCACGCCGCCCGGCTCGGCGGCCCGTTCCCTGCCGGGCTCTGTCCTAAGTGATCCACACATTGGAGCGTGTCTTCTTCACGGCCCCTGGGGATGGGCAATTACTGTCCTTGGTCTCAGGGAAACTGAGGCACAGAACAGCCGAATGACGTGGCCATCTTCCCACCCCCAGGCGGGTGCCCAGGAGGGCAGGGGCGCAGCTGACACAGCACTAGGGTGGAGGCGGAGGTCCCTGTGACTGACAGACTCGTTCCGCCTGGACATTTGCTAGAGCAGAAAAATTCACTTCCAATGTCCATCCCCCCCCCTTTTTTTTTTGGTGCCGAGACCCGGGAGCGATGTCCATCCCATTTTTAAAGTAGTCTGTGACCCTCAGAAGGTTAAAAATGGCCGGAATAAGAAGAAAAATGATCTTTTAAGGTTGGAATTTTATAAAACAGCTTTTCTGCAAGTGTAGGGACTTTGCAAAAGGAAATAAATCATTTTATTTTTGTAATTAAATACACAACAGTTCCAAATGATTTTCTGAGCAGGTCACACTGACCAGGAGAAAGCCACAGGCCGGGGGCTGCAGCGGGCGGGCGGGCGCCAGAGACCGGCGAGGGGCAGGCTGCAGCAGGACGTGGGCTCAGTGACAGAGACCTGCCTGGACCCCCTAGGGAGTCACACACACACACACACACACGCGCCTGTCAGGCAGTCGTCCTGGACCGGCAGTTACGTCCACAGCACTGTACAAGCCACACCGGTTCCCCCCATACTGATGGGACAAAAGCGAAATGGGACATGGCCGCCCCAGCCACACGCCCTCAGGGGGCTCCGGAGCCTTTCCTGCAATCGGTGCTACAAGCAGCACTTTGCAATTTTCAGAGGTCTGACGGTCATACAGTGCACTGCTCCGCAGCTAGGTACGAACATACCAGACTACAGCCTCACGTACGCACGTGCTTCCCAAGAACATTCTATGAAGTTATGACAAGGGAGAGCGGTCTATAAACTGTACTTTCAGCAATATTTACAGGTTTCTATAAATACGGAATTTCTCATTCCGTGCTATTCCTAGCAGCTTTCTGACCAAACGACAGGAATTTCTTTGAATTCCGGGAAAGAACCGCCTGACTGTCTCCAGCGCTGTAAACACAGAGCCCCGGGGAGGGCCACCCAGGCCCCCGGCAGCCCCCGCCTCAGACCCGCAGAGCCAGCTCCTGCCACTTCCTGCCGGGCCTCCGGCCTCTTAACGGGTCTGGAAGCGCGTGCAAATGGGGGCTGGCGCTCACTGAGGCCCCCTCGCCAGAAAGGGAAGCAGTGAAGCGGGGGGCTGGCTGGCCGCCCCCACTGCTGCTCTCAGGAACATTACAATCCAGACGACCAGACTTAAATGAGCAGAGACAACCGGGCTCGTTTGTTTTGATAAAAGTTCAAAAATCAGAAATTACACGTTTCCGGGCAGTGTCCCCTCTGAAACATGAGGGTTTCTCACGACCTGGGCGTAAGGAGGCTGTGTGGGTCCTCACAGCCCCGCAAAGGCAACCTGGGCCTTCAGGGAAGGGGGCTGGCGGCTCACAGGCGGGGCCACCTGTTCCCACCTAATGGGAGCTTAAATCCACCCCCACCCCCTCGTGCACTCTTCCCGAATGCCCTCTCTGCGGGGAGAAGTGTCCCGAAGGGAAAGTGGGTAGGTTTCAAATGTACTGGGTCAGTGTCATGGCTGGGAGAGGAGCCCTTCTGAGGGAGGACGGGCGACGCCATGCTCCCCACCCTGCCCCCACCCCTCAAACGGGAACGTCCGTGCACGGTGCACACGCGGACACGCATGTCCGTCGGCGGCAGCCTCAGCCTGCAGGGTGGAGAACATGTGGAAGAGCCGGAGGCTGCACAGCCCAGACGGAGGAAGGAGGCGAGGCCCGGCCCGGGCACCGCGCACTGGTCTCCGGGCACGAGCGAGCAGGGTCCGAACAAGTGGTCTAGGCCGCGTGCTCTTGAATCATCGCAGGACGCTTGTAACAGAGTCCCCAAACCCCAGGCGGCTGCTGCCCCCAGCCCGCAGCCCCAAGTCCACGGCTGGCCTGAAGAACACGCACTCGGGGGGGGTGCCCCCGGGGACATGCCCAGGGAGTCTGTATAGCGAGTTCGGGGGGGGGGGGTGTCCTGTGTGCTCCCCCCCCCCCAGGAGGGTCCCTGGTGAGCACAGACCCCAGCAGAGTGCAGTTTCTGAGAAGGGGGCTGGGGGCAAACACATGCCCTTGTGTGACACCAGCTGTAAGATGACATTAAAATAAAGTGCAAAGCTGCAGCATTTCACAGGCGCCCCAAGGGCTTCAGGCACCCTCAGAGGTAGGTGACAAGTCGCCGTCCAGCTCACCGTCGCGATGCGCCCCTTCCCACAGCTCTGTCGTCCGGAATTACAAACACCGGGTCAGTACTTTTCACCTGCCAGTTAGTCTGGCAGATGCCCTCGAGGGATAACGCCTTAGGGCTGACTGGGGAACCTTCCTGCCACCCTGCATCCCTACATGCTTAGCGTACAGGGCCCAGGAGAGGGGACACAGGCCCCGGGGACCCACACGCGTCCAGCAGAACGAGCGCATGTGCCACGCGGTCTCAGCAGAGACCCGCCCCCACCAGCAGGTCACCTGTGCCACCTGGCTCTGAGCACCCACTGTCTGAACTCCAGGCACCACAGCCCAGGTCATCAAACGCTCAGTCTAGAAGGATGCAGTTTAAAGGTTCCTGGGTTTTAATTAGCAGCCTTCATACAGTACTAAAATTTAAAACAGACCCAGGCACGGCAGCAGAAAGTACAAGTGTCCGGGAGCAGCGGCCGATCCCAAATGTGCGGAGGCTGCTGGCGCCATGCGTGCCACCCTGGGCCGCCACACCCGGCCGCTCTCGGTCACAAGGCCTACAGACAGCTCACCAGAATTCGGAGCAAATCCCCCATGAGGTGGGAGAGGTCACTATCTAGAAAAAGAAGTCACCAGGGAGGAGGGTCCTGGGCAGAGTGGGGAGGGACCTGCAAAGCTCTGGGGGCTTCTTATCGAGCTCTGCCTCGACCCTCAGGGGGCCAGGTCAGCGCGGCTGGCGCTCAGAGCTCACGAGTCTGCCAGACGACCGTTTCGTTCCTGCGTGAAAAAGCAAATGGGAAAATTGTACTTAACCAGCACTTCAAAGGACGCCAGCGTCAAGCGGTCTCGGAGCCCTAACAACGCTGAAGTCACCCCCCAAGAGCCCAGATGCTCACGTACACAGTTGCCAACACCGAGAGACATGGGTGACGGGACCCGGCTGACCCCAGACCTTTAGAGACGACACCTCTTTTATTCTCATTACGAGGTGCCCTCAAAAAAATGCCCAGACGCCACCGCATCTCCGCCCTGGAAACAGCCACCCCCCACGGGCGCAGAGTGAGCGTGCGGGAGGCCAGCAGCTGGGCTGGAGCATCTGGGAGCTGCTAAGGGGTGTGAGGTACCAGCGGGTGTGGCCGAGAATGTTCTCTTCCCCCGAAGCCCAGCTGCTGGGTCTCCCTGGCACATGGGCCCACGCCCTCATGGCCGCACCACACACTTAAAATAAACAAAAGGCCATTTCTGATAGACAAGGTGCCAACAGTTTTAAATGTGAAGGTGACGGGCTCGGGCAAGCCTTGCACAGCTGAAAGAAAAAAAGCGCTACAGACTGCATGTAAAAGTGACATTCCATCAGTTACTTGTATTAGTAAAGTTCTGAAAAGTTTTAAAACGCTGAACAACAGTGTAACTAGACAACGAATTACTTAGCAACTTACCCCAGGCTAAAATCATACAAATTAATAAGAAAAATTAAGTGACCAAGTTTTGATATTACTTTATCAGAATATTAAGATTTTACTTAGATTAATCAAACTACTTTTAAAGACTAGTAATTAATATACTGAGAACATTCACAACGTGAACATTCCCATAATTCACGTCATCAAATTAATGCAGAATACGGAAATATCATTACGATGCCTCTCTATCTAAGACTCAGAAATCCTGAAATGTCCCCACGTCCCCATGGCTGCTCCAACAGCAGCCGCCCGGCGAAGCTGTTCTGGGTAGTCAAGGGCATCACGTGGGGCAGGGCTCCTTACTTGGAAATGGTCTTCGGCTGCCTTGCCACCCACGTTAAGGACATTCAGAGAACTGGCACGCTTCATGCTGCACCGGGGCAGTAGACATGCAAAAGGACAAACCATCGGCACATCAGTTAGCCAGGCGCAGGACACACGGCAGACGCCTCTCGAAGGCCCCTGTCCCCATGGGGGTCCCTGGCACCAACCGTGATGGAGAGCAGGCCCTGATCTCGCTCGGACCGGGACGTCTGCCCAATTCCTAGCGTGGACCCCCAGCTCTCTCTGTACTTAGAGCACAGCAGGGAAAAAGCACAGTTTCTCTGCATCTTTCTCAGCAAAGTATCTGTCTTTAGGGAGTGTGTGTGAATTCCAAGTGTCATATTGTCACGCTGTGAAATGTAGCTCATGTAGGAGCCGAGAGGCTCTGCCGAGGCCACCCTCAGAGTCAGCACGGGCCCTCGTGTCAGGTCCGATTTAAGAAGGGAGCCTGGGGATTCCTCCAAATCCCAACACTCACCTGGAATGACCACGTAAAAGACAGACACTCGAAGCTCACTGTTAAGATCAGATACACACATACATCCGTGTATTTTATATATATTTTTTATACTAACAGGAAAAACAACTTTTTGCTAGTAAAATAAACTCAGAACCTAGTATTTCTCTGCTTAGAAACCAAAATTTAGGGGCGCCTGGGTGGCTCAGTCGGTTAAGCGCCGACTTCGGCTCAGGTCATGATCTCACGGTTCACGGGTTCGAGCCCCACGTCAGGCACGGTGCTGACAGCTCAGAGCCTGGAGCTGCTTCAGATTCTGTGTCTCCCTCTCTGGCCCTCCCATGCTCGTGCTTTGTCTCTTTCAAAAATAAACACCAAAATGAATTTTTTTAATCAAAATTTAAAAGAGATTACATGGCTTTACATTTAAGGAAATATAGTGATTTCAATATATATTTACTTTTTTCTCCTACTTGATACCTTAAAAATACTTGATGAAATATCCAGCAAATAACCTAAAACCTAAACTTAAATTATAGACAGTCGGTCATGAAGTTACCATAATTGCTTATCGCTACCAGGGATGCCCCGAAACAGAAAGTACCCTTAGCTTTTAAAGTTAAAATAACCAATATTAAGGGTTATTTTTAAATGTTTGCAACAGGAACTGGAATTATGAATGTGAACTACCTATGACAGACTGCACACTAGCTACCCTATGAGTTCAAATAAAAAAATGCACCAGGACTGCTGACCAAGGCCCAGGTCATGACCCGAGTGCCCACCAGCAGCCATGAGTGCAGCGCCCGGCAAACAGCATGTGCTTACTGAGCTCTTGCTGAATAAACTACACTAAAACCAAAGACCTTAATTTACTTATCCTTAAGTAAAACTCACTCCCAAAACGCCCCGACCAGGATAAAAAGAAAAAACAAAAACACCCCAATGAAGCCCAAGTAAGTGTTGCTAGAATTCTGAACAAGTTTTTCTACAAGAAAAGGATAAAATCAAAGCAAATGGGGCGCCTGGGTGGCTCAGTTGACTGAACATCTGACTTCGGCTCAGGTCATGATCTCATGGCTCATGGGTTCGAGCCCCGCGTCGGGCTCTGTGCTGACAGCTCAGAGCCAGGATCCTGCTTCAGATTCTGTCTCCCCCTCTCTCTGCCCCTCCCCTGCTCACGCTGTCTCTCTGCCCTTCCCCCCACCCATGCTCTGTCTCTCTCCATCTTTCAAAAATGAATAAACATTAAAAAACTTTTTTTTAATCAAAGCAAATCACAAGTTATATTCTGGCACATTTAATTATTCTGTTATTTAAAAAGCTGATCGGCTTTTTCTAAGAAAGCCATTCAAGCTTCTTCCTCAGCTTCCGTTTCCTTACAAGATGAAAATGATAAGTGGACCCCTCCCAGCAGGTCCACACCACCCCCCCCAACTCGGAGCTGCAACCATACCTGGCGCTTAAGCTGGGCTGCACGATGCAGGAAGAATGCCCAGTTCAGTGAGTCTCAATACACGGTCCCAGGAGCGCCTGGGTGGCTCAGTCAGATAAGCGTCCAATCTCTGCTCAGGTCATGACCTCTTAGTTTCTGAGTTTGAGGCCCACATTAGGCTCTGTGCTGACAGCTCAGGGCGTAGAGCCTGTTTTGGATTCTGTATCTCCCTCTCTCTCTGCCCTTCCCCCACTTGCACACTCTCTCTCTCAAAAATAAACATTTAAAAAAATTAAAACAAAACAAACAAAAAAACAAAACTGTGGTCCCAGACCAGCAGCACTGGCACTTGCTGGGAACTTGCTAGAAAGGGACTAGCGTAGGAGGTGGGGGGGTGGGGGGGAAGACAGATTCCCCTGTATCATAAACTGAGGGGTGGGGCCTGGGCAGTCTTGTTCACAACCCCCCCAGATGCAGACCCTCAGAACCACTGGTCCAGTTAATACACGTGGTTACTCTTACCTAGAAAGTGTGTTCAGTTTTCTGCACTTTATGGGCTAACATTTCTGAGGTCATGAATTTTTCATCAAGTTCAGTAAGGTACCATCTCGAGTAACACGGAGGGCGAGCGCCACGTGTGAAGTGTAGCGTGGGGACAGCGCACCAGCACCACAGCACGCGCCACACCACGGAGCGTTCGGGCCTCTGCATCATGGTCCAGACACACATGAGACCCAGAGAACAACTGTGGGCTCCGTCACATGGGCAGGAAGGGCCGTGTCACAGGACTCGGTGCCAGAACTGGACTCTGCATTTAAAACGCCTCAAAACACCCAGACCCTCAGGGAACCGGGACGCCCGCCCGGGAGGAGCCGCCCAGTGGCATGTGACACAAATCTCTCTGTGGTGGCACAGATCTCTTCCACTCTCAGACCCGCCCCGGGGAACACAACTGAGCCACTGCACAAGTCTGTGCGGGACCTCACAACGGCCCGGTGAGGCAAACAGTGACCTATCCTTTAGTAAATATTTTAAAACAAGCACTTTATCCCAAAGGCCATTTAAAACCTGCTTCCCTGAGGCAGGTCCTCAGGCGCTGACGACAGGCCAGGATGGCAATCTGCTGCTAAGCCCCACACGATGCCGGAAGCTTCCAACGCTGTGCCTTCCAGGAAGTTTCAGAACAGACGTGCAGAGCCCGTAAAACTCCCTCTGCGGAAACGGGCTCGTGAACGCTTCCGAGAAGCAGGGGGACAATCAAACTGCGCCTCCCGCCTCGCGAGCCACTGAGCAATGTGCACCGCCACCAGCAGAGTTGGGTCTCTGCTCCCTGGGCCCAGGGGCCAGAAAAACGAGACGGGACACCTCTGGGACCAGCAAGGGAGGCAGTGGGAAAAGCACCTCCCCTCGGTGTCTCCAGCACGTTACGGGAGGGGACCCCAGGCCCCAGCAGTGGATGGCAGCATCGCGTGTATGAGTCTCACTGGGTGGCCCCACGGAGGAGCTGAGCCTCACTGAGGAGTGGACAGAACAGTGCCTCAGGGAGGGTGTATCCCCACAGGAAGCTGTGGGCACCAGAAGTAACCCAGAAGCAGGTGTGCGTTAAATACAATCACAGCTACCATTTGATTTTAAAAGGATTTTAAAAACTAATTTTAAAGGACAGCGGGTCGCCTGGGGGACTCAGTCGGTTAGGCGTCCGACTTCGGCTCAGGTCATGATCTCACGGTGCGTGGGTTCGAGCCCCGCGTCAGGCTCTGTGCTGACAGCTCAGAGCCTGGAGCCTGTTTCAGATTCTGTGTCTTCCTCCCTCTCTGACCCTCCTCTGCTCATGCTGTCTCTCTCAGAAATAAATAAAAAACATTAAAAAAAAAAAAAAAGGACATGAACTAGTGCTAATTCTAAGAAATAAGTATTGCCTGTCTGGAGCAAACAAGTGAATACGCTCGGTGTTTTAGTGTGAAGTTCCCGCTTTCCACCGCTAAGGCTTCTGCTACACATGCCACAGAACCAGAGCTTTGCATGGATCTCTTCTCAAGGCATCCGCCCTCTTGGCCTCTGGACGGAAGCCCACGGTCATCCGTCAGCCTGTCCTGGGGGAGGAGGGCGCGGCGGGGCGGCCAGCGGGGCTGCAGATAGTTACCCGGGGTTCCTCGGCTCACTCTCTCGAGAACTTCCTCCCTTCAGCTTCCTAACCAGCTTCTCACTGCTGCGTCTAATGGAAGCCCGGAGTTTGCTAAAGGAGCCACTGCGCTTTAAAGATCCAGTGCCGTCCTGAAAGAAACGTGAACAAATGTGAAACCGCAGATGGATCTCGGCCGACCTCCCAAGAAGCTGAGCTGAATGAAAACAAGAATTCACATCACGGCTGACCTACTTGTCTGCGACTTGCTGGCAAAGCGATTGCTACAGAAACCACCGATTTGCCATGCATGTAAACACACTGGAAATAGAACTCTCTCCACTTTAAATCTCATTAAAGATAATCCGGTGATCATGAAAACCTTTGAACATGAAGAAGTTCATTTGAACAAATATAACATCCCCCAAAATTGTATTGCTGTTTCGAAACAAAAGGGAACACACAGAAGTCTAAGGAAAATGAAGGCTGCTTCTTGGAAGATCACCAAAATCAAATTCCACGTTTAATAAGAAAGGAAGCATCTGGGCCACGTAACAGTACTGGACCCCAAACGCTGAGCTGACAGAGACAACTTCTGTTTAACAATTTCATGTGAATACGATACTTAAACATACTGCTTTTTCAGTAAATTTTACTACTTTTTAAAAATTATCATTTATTTATTTTTAAGTCCCTCCCCCCCAAGGTGGGGCTCAAATCCACGACCCCAAGATTAAGAGTCACATAGTCTTCTGATTGAGCCAGCCAGGCACCCCATTCAATAAATTTTTTAGAAGTTTTATTAGAAGTGAGGCTGGAAAATGAAATAAAACGTTCATTCCATACAGTACCTAAAAGCCCTCAAAACACCCTGTGGGAAGTAGAAGACTCCCAGCTTCCATCACGACTCAGACATTAATAAGTGAAAGACTCGGCAGTTATCCAGGTATGAGAATCAAGAACAGAGAGTAAAGAAATGTGCTGTAGCAACTTTTATTCTCAGAACGAATGACTTAGTAAGATTAACGGCAGCCGCCCCGCTCCTTCAGGAAGCCACACAGCGCCGCATTCCACGGAAAGAGTGACAAGTCCCACTAAGCAGACAGACACGAAGACACGGGTCAGTTGGAGTGAGTTTATTAGAAGTTAGAAAGACACAAATACACAAATCACTGACCGCTTGAGGATTAGTGGAGAAGAGCAAATTTGCCAAAATTTCACAGAGACTACACAGCAAATGCTACTTGAGCGAGATCCTAAGGGGAGAGCCTGGGGCCCGGGGGGCCTTGCCAGGTCTCGGAGTGCGACAGGAGCAGCACATGCCCTACTCTTACAGCCTAGCTAGTGTCCACGGTCACGGTCATGCCACTGCACCAACACCTGCAGGTACTTCTAACTACCTTTTATCAAAGTGACAGCTAATCGCTCTTAATTTTTAAACTCACGTATCACACGGTAAATGGTTTTATTAACACAGTTTATATTACTAAGTACATATCTGGCAAAGCTACATGTATACAGAGGTAAGGAACCCCCCAAAAGGACAGCAGCACCGAGAGGAACGGCCAGTCACAGAGAGGTGGGGCTCTGACAAGAGTCCTAGGGGTTGCTACACACAGCAGTCAGCACTGGAGAGGGAGGAAAGCCGGAGGAGCCGCCCGTCATGCAGGAGACAGTGTGAGCGTCACAGAGGGCAGCTAGGCCTGTCAGACAGAAACGGAGAGAGAGCCCAGTGAAACCCTGCGAGCAGAGAGCCAGCCCCCGCGAGCGCAGCGCGCCTCACAGTATTTCTAGGTCACGAATCTTAGCAGTGCGTTGAATCGCTTCAATATTTGGGATTACCTTCTGCTGCCTCGATCAGCCCGGGACAGGGACACCGGGCCGCACGTTATCGGTTACATTATCGGGCTAGTTACTCCTGCCATCAAAATAAAATTCCAGTTTCAGAGCACGGATTAGCACTGTGCTAGAAATCTCCGTGATACTTACTGTAACGAGGTTTTCCAGCAACTGTACGTAAAGGAGATCCCACAATGAAAAACATCAACAGTCACCGGAAAAAAGGCTACACACGGGAAGAGCACGTTCATTATCTTTAACTTCATCAGAAACCCTCCGCGTCCCTAAACTATTAAGTTCTCTCTGAAATCAGGGAGGACTTTCTCTTAAAAGCACTAACAGTTTAGACATTTCAGAAACTCTTCAAGAAACCACGGACTTTAAGTCTTGAGCACATGTTACACGCGCAGTCGGTAATCCAAAATAAAATTAACTACAGAAAATGGATTCCACAGGCAGCAATGCATCCTGGGTCTCAGCAGACTGGAACCCCAACAGTCTCGTACCGAAGCCCCAGACAGCGGGGACCTGGGCCCCTGCCCGCTCTGACTCACCATGGGACGCTGAGCAAGTCATTTAACCAGCCCGAGCTTCATTTTTCTCATCTTTAAAATGGAAAAATAAAATTTGTTACCAACTCCCCGCGACTGCTGGGAGGACAAGAAAACATAAGTTCTTGCTCTTTCAGAAAAAGGACATTAAAATGTTAATTCCACAAACCGTACAGCTGCTGTTCATCCCCAAATCCATCGCCACAGCTACAGCCCAGCGGTGTGGTTTGCAGCTCCCGCACCAGACACCGCACCAGCCACCGGGGCAGGGCGTCATGGTAAGCACCCCCCCACGCCACCCCCGGGGCAGGGCACTGGAGCAGGCTGCCCTCCCCTCCCACCCCCCACCCCAGTAGGCTTCTATTCAGGGAGCCTGAGGGTCGGGAGGTCTCCTGCACCCTAACTCCTCCAGAACCAGTCTACTACTTATCACTGCCCTGAAAGAGTATTTACATCAGAAAAGCGGGTTTCTGAACAGAAACGTGGAGTGTATGGGCTGAGAAACCTACACCAGTAGTTATTAACTACAGATTTCAGGTGACTTGCTATTTTTTGTTACATTCCAGTTGGGTTCCTAACGTAACTTTTAAAAATAAAAAACCTCCTTCTAATTAAAAGCATGACTGCCCCGTTCCTCAGTGATCTCGGGGAGCCCGGGGGTGCTGAAAGCTCTCACAAGCACCACCACGTGGGGTGGGGCGGGCTCCTCCTGAAGGAGCCTGGAGGGCACTGGCAGCCCGAAACGGGACAGATTGGAGAAGACGGATTTGGGGACCCCGGGACCTCGGCCAAGGTCTCCTGGGGCCCTCATGGGACGGCTGCAGACAGTTCCTTAGTCACCGGGCAGCCCAGGGACCCCCATGTGTCTGAGGGAACGCAGCCCTCAGTGAACACGCAGCCATGTGGACAGAGGGTACAGGGAATCAACGTATCAGGAAGGATTCCTCTGCACAAAGCATCTGCATTTTTAGCAGGACCATAAAAGAACTCAGACACCATCCTGACAATGCTTTTCAGACCTGTATACTTTATACAAAAATAAGTTTGAGGAAGTTACACTTTTCAAGCACTTTAATCACAATCTTTTTGGTACATACCTAGCAGAACAGAATGGGACTTCACTAAGAATTTGGTCCAAAAATTTCATATAAATTGTCACAATGTGTCCAGTAATCTTACTTTTTTCTTGTATTTTAATAGCATAGAATTGAGTCCTGTGCTGAGCCAGACCCTCAGTGTCTGCAGGGAGCAACCGTGACCGGGTGTGCCGAACCTCTGCCCACGCTGCCCTCTGTATCACACGTTACCCTGAGTGCGGAGGACGAGGAGACCAGCCTCCTGTAAGCGGCTCTGGTCACGGCACCGGACAGCTGGGCCCACGCCTGCCACCCTCCCTGCTGGGCGAGCACTTGCCCCACAGAGCAACGTGGCGCTTTTTATTAAGGTGGCAGTTTTTAAATTTTTTAAAGAGCACTACAACTCGTTTTCAAAAACTTAAAAAAAACCTCTAATGCAAATGCCAATACAAAATGAAATCTAGGTGGCATTTTCTCATTATAAATGTAAAACAGGTTCTTAGGTTGATAAAATAAGCCAGGAAAACACTGAAGCCACCGGCGGAAAGCCACGATCTGTGATATGAAATTAGAGGCAGGCCCAGCCCTGATGCCCACCTCAACTCCCAGTTTGTTTCTAGTGCATCTGGGCTGCGTAGCGCCGGAAACACCTGCTGCACACAGCTGCGTGCCTGCAGGGGCCACACTTCTCACACCTGGGCCTCGTCGTCTCGGGGAACTCTGCATTCACAGAGGGCACGACACACTTAACTGTCACACCCGGACAAAGACTAACTTGGGGGCTGTAGTCTATTAGCATCTCACTTGAAGGTGACACTTAAAACAGGCTCCTCTGGCTGCACAAAACTACACCTCAATCAGGTTGACTCAAAAAAAAAAAAAAAAAAATGCACATGTGGGGAGCCTGGGTGGCTCAGTCAGTTGAGCGTCCGACTTCGACACGGGTTATGATCTCACAGTTCATGGGTTTGAGCCCCGGGCTGGGCTCTGTGCTGACATCTAGCTCAGAGCCTGGAGCCTGTCTTCGGATTCTGTGTCTCCCTCTCTCTCTGACCCTCCCCTGCTCATGCTGTCTCTATCTCCCTCTCAAAAATAAATATAACATTAAAAAATTTTTAATAAAAAAAATGCACATGTGCACACTGCCTTTACTATGTCTCTTCTTAAAGCCTAAGAGTATGCTTTGAAAATGAAAATACAACCCTATGTCGGGAGAACTCAGCACCACCTTCTCAGAAACTGAGAGCCGTGGCCTTCCCTTGAAGGTGAGGGTGGGCTGAGTGTGAGCAGGGGCCATGGGGCCCAGCGCTGGGCACACCAGCCACGCGGCTCCCTGCCTGCTAACCTGGGTACTTCATCAGTCACCACTGCTTAAGTGGAGACTCTGCTTGAAGAAAGGGATCCTTCTGCTGTTCAAAGCGAGTTTAGGATTGACTTAAGATATGGAATCTAGATTCTTTCAGCCAACGGACTCCACAGCCAATCGATGAGCCCTGTGATGGATCCTGTCAAATATGCAGAGCTCCTGGTGCCTAAAAGTCAAGTAAAAAGGTGTCCACAGTCCAATGTGTGAGCAGCCTAAGTGAGAGCACGTCCAAAGTGACAGGGAAACGGGAAATGGGAGGAGAGGCGAGCGTGCACTCAAAGGAGTGACTGCTCTGCCCACTGCACTGCGGCTCTGCAGCCGGCCCAACGGGCAGCTGCCTACCAGCCCTCTGCTCTGGGTGGAAAGCGGCTCTCCCTTATCCCGGAGTCTCAGCCTTGAAGAGGTCACAGAACTCCACATTGTCTAATTTTATGACAAGACTTCACAGGAAGATTGACCTAGAAATACTGTCTCAAGAAAAAGCTCCTCTACAACTTCATTCAAGAGTATCAACTGCACCCTGGCTTCTAAAGGGCAGAGAAGGGACATGGCCCTCCACACAGGCATGCAGGACGCCCCGAGCCACGGGGAGAGTACAGTACACAGTGTGGCCAGATGTGAGCAAGAGGAGGGCCTGCGCCATCATGGTTTTTGTTCAGACTACACCCTGACGGGGGGATGGTCACAGCAGATGCTGATTGGTTGTCTTGGCACAGAAAAACCAAAGCAAGGCAGCCACCAGACAGAGACGGTCATAAAGACGTTCTCCCTGAAACTGCACCACTAACATTACATACGAAGTGTCTATTAGAATGCTAATCCTTACCAAACCTCTACAGCTATAGGAAAATCCCAAATAAATACACGCAAAAAGATGGGAGTGTAGGAAACCCTAAAACTATATTTGGCAAAACATTTGCACCATTACAACTAGTCAAACTGCACTACTACAACTTCAAAAAAAAAAAAAAAAAAAAAATTCAATAGTGCACCTGGATAATCCTGCATTCAATCCTCTCCGATAAAATCCTGCATTCAATCCTCTCCGATAAAAGCAAAATCCCACAAATAGCAGCTCAATATACAAAAATATTACCCACGTGTGACCAAAATACACTAGGAAAAAATGTTCAGAAGGCCACACGCTCTTTGACAACCACTGGGTAAACAGCAGTGGTAAGAATGTCCACAGAGGCAAAGTCATGAAAGCCAGAGGTAGAGCCTGGAGGGATGGGTTCCAAACACAGGCACAAGTTCTGGATCCGAAAACCTCTGGCAGATGACTCTGACGAGGGAGCCCCCCCCACCTATTCTTTCCTAGAGACACGTTTGGTGTGAAACATCACCTCCCTTTAAGGAATCTCAATCACTTCTAACAAAATCGACAGCAGCCTGGTCAGTGAAATTAGGAGCGCTGGAGTTAGCGAGGAAAATGGGTTAAGTTAACAAAGCGAGTTAGTTATCTGCCACACTAATCCTAATATTAAAATAAAATCAGGTTATGGATTATGCTTTAAATAACCAGGACACTCAATCAGCATTTAAGTGCTCAAAGTTAAGCCAAACAGCTTTCATGGGTTCCTCCAGAGAAGAAAATTACCACTTCAAACAAGTAACAGACTTCATCATTAGCAGAAGATAAGAACTTACAAAAATCTTAATTTTGTACATAATTTGAGACCAGGAGGGGATCTGGCACGTAAGACAGGAGGAAAGTGCTGGCAGGCATCCCTGGAGGACACTGGCCCAGGCCGTAGCCAGGGGACCCGGGGACAGAGTGCCTGGCTGAGCACGCCGGCGGCTGTGTACTGTACTTACCCCGTTCCACTCTACGCTCATACTCACTTCCTCCCCTCCGTCAGGGCCGCTCTCGTACTTGACCACGTCCACATTCAGGCTCTCCCGGCTTCTCCGCTTCTCCATGTTCTCAGGGTCATTCAGCACTTCGGCTACTCTCTGTTTGTGAACATTGTCAAGACCCTGTGAGCCAGGCAAGGGGGAAAGGGTTTGACCCATTAGAACTTAAGTTTCATTAAGGATTTCTAAGAGAGTTATGTTTCACTGAGGAAAACAAAAACAAACACAGCCCGTAAACACTGGAAAGGAAAACTCAGAGCAGGGATTCTCAGGAATGTACACTTAGACTCACGCATTCCCCCCGTTGAATTTTACCTTGAATTTTAAAAGACAACAAACGATGGGCTCCAGCAAGTGAACTGCACACTCGAGATACTTACAAGGAAACAAACTGACCTATACAAACCTGAAACGCCCTCCCCAAGAAAGGACCTGTGGGTGGGCAGCTGGGACAGACGTGCCCAAGAGCAAGGACACGTTCAACATAGAACCCAGAGGGCAGGCACACCCTCTAAACCTCTCTGCTTTCAAAGTCTCGTCGGAAGGAGCTGGAATGATGCCCAGACGGCCTCGGTGACAGGGTGAGAGGGCGGCAGCAAGCTGTCACTTCGCTTCGCTGCATCAGGGACCTCGCTCACTCAACATGGTGCAGACTGTCTCCGGGTGTGTTTCGGTTCTAACAATCCGTATTCCAAATGGGATTCAACCCTAACAGCTCGTGCAAATAACTGCGCTTGTGCGGACTCCCACAAGGTTTTCCTCAAAAGGTACAAACCTCAAACAGATGAGGTACTAACGTGACTTCACGGTAAAGCGGACTGTGCCCCCTCCCCAGCAGGAGGAGAGCTTTCTGGGTAAAGCACTGACAATCCTCTTCCTTAAGCTTCTACAACTGCTGGTCCCCAGACTCGGCTCCTCTAATAAACATCCTCCTGGCAACTTTAAAACAAAGCCTGGATCACTGGCATGAGCCTTGATGACAGGTCACAGAAGTCTAGAGCTGGGACGAGCATCAAGGCCGTGGAAGCCACCTTCCATCCATCCCCAGGGGTGGTAGACGCGGGCACTGTGCCTGAATGCCATGCAGCCCACACAGCCAGACCCCCACAAAGGGGTCCCCACACCCCCAGGCGCTCTCCCCTGCCCACACCAGGCGCGCAAGCAGCCCTTCAGAGTCAGAAGACCCAGGAAGGATGGTGGGACGTAAGAAAGGGGCTCCTCCAGGAGCACCGGCTGGGAGACATCATTGGTACCAACTCTGCCTGGGTTTCTCTTCTCACTCCGCACAGACTTTGTTCAGAAAAAGAATTCTAAGGTAAACACGGGTCATTTTAATCCCAGACAAAAGTGGCGATAAACCAGCAAGCACATAGTTGCCTACACACGTTCCATTCAGGATGGGGAAACTCACACCTGCCTCTCCAGTCCTAAATGGAGAAGACAAAACCAAACCTACCATCTTTACATACGTTTTTATATATTCACACACACACACATGCTCACACACAGGGGAACGCAAAAGCGCACGCACACACAAGGTTAACATACTCATCACTATGACAGCCACTCATTACAGGGCAACAAGGGCGCCCCTCCCCGTATTTCCTCACACGTGTTTCACATGACTAAACGCCTCAAAAGATGAAGGAAAACAGTCTTATGTTCCGATGTCCACCTTCCTGAGGAGCCACCAAGCTGCCGCCCACTGCAGCCCCACCTCACGTCCCCACCAGCCATGCACAGGGGCCCCAACTTGTACATCTTTCCCTCAACACCTGTTGTTGTGTGTTGCACCCGAGCCATCCCCAGGGGGTGAAGCGGGGTGGCGGCTGCCGAAGGGGAGCACTTTTGCTCGCCCGCACCTGTGAGCAGAACTGTCTGCTCAGCTCCTCTGCTCATTCTTTAACTAGAAGATCCCTCTGTCTCGTTATATTCTAGACACTAGAGCATCATCAGATGTGATCTTCAAACGCTCCACCCATCCCGTGGTGTCTTCACTATCCGGAGAGTGACCTCGAATGCACACACATTTCTAATTCCAGTAAATGTAACCAATCGAGTTTTTCTTTTGCTGCTTGCGGTTTTAGTGTCATAGTTATGATCTTTTTTTTTTTTTAAGGTAGGCTTCACACCCAGCAAGGAGCCCAATGCGAGGCTTCAACTCCAGATCCTGAGACTAACACCTGAACTGAGGATCAGGAGTTTAGAGACCTAACCAACTGAGCTACCCAGGCATCGCTATAGTTATGACCTTTTAAATAACGCAGTTTTATTTGTACAAACTAAAATATTAATGTTTTGTATTTCTAAGTCAAGCTTTTGGTCAGTCATATCAAAAAAGACTCATTCGGGGCACCTGGGTGGCTCAGTTGGTTAAGCAACTGACTTCGACTCAGGTCATGATCTCACAGTTTGTGGGTTCGAGCCCCGCACTGGGCTCTGTGCTGACAGCTAAGAGGCTGGAGCCTGCTTTGGATTCTGTGTCTCCCTTTCTCTCTGACCCTCCCCAACTTGTTCTCTCTCTCTTTAAAAAATAAACATTAAAAAAAAAAATTTAAAAAAAAGTTTTTTTAAATAAAAGACTCATTCAACCCATTCAATTAAAGCTCTAACAGGTGAGTTAAAAATGGAAGGAAGGGCACGGACCTGTTTACGGGACCTCATGGCTGCTTCCTCCAATGTCTCAGCAGCTTCGAATTTGCCTTGACGTCTGTAAAGTGCCCCGAGGTTTTTCAAAGTAGTTGTAACGGTTGGACTGTAAGAAAGCCCAGGATACACAGAATATTAAATACAAGTTTGAGAACTACTGTCAACAATACATAATCTAAAGGACTAACAGACTTAGGTTTGTGAGAAATGCTTAAATTTCTACGGTATTTTCTTAAGCTGCAAAATTCTAAAACAGTTCTTTTTCGGTCCACGTGGCCTGCCAGTGCCGCATGACGCAGCTAGGCCAACCCCGACACCCCGCAGACTCTCTGCAGGGCCGGGACACCCCCGCGCTGAGCCCCGAGGCGGCACTGGGCCCACCGGCTCTTTCCAGGCTGCGGCCGCCGGTGCAGTCCCCTGCCCCTGTCAACAGACACGTCTAGTGCCACGTCTAGTGACCACCGTGCCTCCCCTGGAAGTGGAGCCTGCTCTGTGCCGGGCAGTGAAGAGGACATGGTACTTGTAACGTTGCAGTTCACTGGCTCCCTGCTCTCCGCACGGAGGGAGACGGAAGGAACATGCAGGACCGGAGCCAGAGTGCGGCGTGTGTGAAGGCAGGAGAGACGCACTCCTGACCAGTCTTACTAAGAAACCAGAAATAAGCCTAGTTCCTTTTAGCATATGCAGGTACTGCAAGAGACTGTTCTTACTAATGACAGGCACTTAAGGTACCGAACAAAGAACAGCGCCCGGGGGCCTCAGGAGGTTAAGCATCCACAGTTGATTGCAACTCAGGTACGATCTCACGGTTACTGAGTTCGAGCCACACATCGGGCTCTGTGATGACAACATGGAGTCTCCTTGGGATTCTCTCTCTCTCTCTCTCTCTCTCTGGCCCCCTCCCTCCTGCACATGCTCGCTCGCTCTCTCTAAATAAATGAACATTTAAAAAACAAAATTACAGGTTTTGGGGCTGGAGTTTGGGAACAGTAGGGGACACTGCAAGCACACCACCTTCCGGAACATTTCGTGTTGGGTCACTTACAAGCTGCCCTAACCACCAACACCTTCCAAGGCGACTCTGTTCTTTTAGGTAAAAAGACCTACCTATCAACTTTGCAGGCTTTGTACCAGCCGCCATATTCTCCAAAAGATGTTCCGTCCTTTTGCTTTCCCTAAATTATAACAAATGAATAATTATTTTTTAAAGCAGTATATTCAATTTGGAAACTCTCTCAGAACAGTGTATTCTTACTTTGCATTCTTCTCTTTCTTCAGCGTGCATCCAAATGGGTTTATTTTCATCTAGGGGAGAAAACAGAGCACACCATGACACTGAGGCCGGGGCGGGGAGGGCCAGGTTGTGGTGACCGCAGAAGCTGCAGAAGCAAATGCACCCGCACAGGCGGGCGGCTGTCAAATGAAATCTGACGAATGCTGACGCTCCTACAGTGAGACTCTAGTGCTAGAATCTTGACATAACACTGTGAGTACTTAGAATCTGAGAAAGCTAGCGTTAACCGAAGTCTAAGAAAAAGGAATAAGATGCTGAAGGCAAAACTGGGAAAAGATGCAAAATATTCTCTTACGGTCTTAACTTCTCAGAACCTAAACCATGCTGCTCCATCCAGCACTTCTAGACAATGAGCATGCCCACACCATGGAGGGTAAGCAGTCTCAAAAGTGACACTTATGAAAATACTTTTCACATGAAAAATGTTTAAGGTACAAGTCTGAAGGTAAACAAGTAGTATACGTGAGTATATGTAAAGCATGGTTTTAACTGTGTAAATCGATTGACACGGAAAGAAGGAAAACACTGGAAATCATGGGTGACCTTCACCTTCCGTGTCTGTACGCAGGACACTTTCAAGGACCGGCTTCAGGCTCCAGAGAAAGAAACCTATGCTCACACCAGGTCGGCCGCTCACTAACCATCTAACCTTGGCCAAGTCACTGAGTCTATAGCATCCTCACTCCTAAAGTGGGTTAAGGTTTGACCCACTTCGCAGGAGTTAAACGAGATTACACACTGAGACCACCTGACAGAATTATGATTATTACTTGGGATGTCACAGGAGACTGTGGCTTTAAGAGTGAAGGGCCCGCGAAGGCAGCACTGCTGGCACTGCGTAGCCATGTCTAATTGCACTAATTCTAGTGCGAGAGTAGCCGGGTGGGTACACAGCAGCTAACAGTGCAGGACCCCCGGGCGACACAACAGGTCACATGTCAGCGTGTGCACTATGAGCAGGAGGCCCTGTGAGACTGGAGGTCACACATCGATGGCCACAAGAACCACGTGCATCTTACCTTCAAAAAAATGTCTTCTGTCCTACGTTTTAACATTTGCATAGAAGGCAAATCCAAATACAGGAAAACCACTTTTAACTAGAATCCAATTAACTGGACTTTGTGCTACTATTTTTAGCAAAAAGCCAGCTAATTGCAAGAAAACAAATATTCCCCAAGAATGGAATTTTTCAAAAGCAGCATCAAGGAAATAACCCGAGATCAGTCCAAACGGCCTGTGCAGTTAGGCGAGGATGTGGAAGCCCCTGGGAACGGAACAACTCCTGGGAGGTGGGTGCTGTCCCATCCTGTCCTGTATCGACTGCAAACAGAACCTGTGCTCAACATGGAGAGTCTGGGGCGTTCCTAGATTCTCAACCGCTCCAGTTACTAACGGAGGAGAAAAATACTAATACACCTGAAAGACGTTTCAAGAGTGGTTTCTAGAAGCTCTCTATAAAAGAAAATATTTACTGGGGCACCTGGGTGGCTCAGTTAGTTCAGCATCTAACTATGGCTCAGGTCACAATCACAGTTCGTGAGTTTAAGGCGTGCATTGGTCTCTGCTGTCCCCACAGAGCCTGCTTCAGATCCTCTGACCACGTCTTTCTGCTCCTCCCCCGCAAAATAAATAAATAAGTAAAAAATAAAGGATAAAGAAAACATTTGTTAAGCAAAACCTTTCCCTATACGTTCTGAGATTTCCTGCACACCAGTAACAACTGTCCTCATTCCACATGCTTTATGCAACACCTGATGCTGGGGAAATGCTTACGTAACACCCGAACACAAATGCTATTTCACTGAGCAACTGAATCCTGCAAAATATTTGTTCCAAAACTGTGTATTAAATACCTAGAACACTTTAAGCAATATGGAGACAGGCCTTGGCTCTTTAAGACAGCCTCATAACCCAGCAGGCCTGGGGTGGGGTCGACGGCCTGCGCTTCTGACAGGTCCCGGGCGGTGCTGAGGCCACTGGTCCCTGCCGGCACGCTGAGAACCAGGATGACAGGACAATCCCAAAACCCTTGATGCCGCCAGAGAGGTTGGCTGGGTTAATGCTCTGAACTGTGCGTGAAGCAAGACTGGACTCTGGCGAGGGCAACGAGGCAAGACGTGGAGCAGGGGGCTCATCACCCCTCACCACAAGATGCACGACCCCACTGGGAGTAACTGGTGCAGTAACTGGTGACGCCAGGGCAAGTATGCAGGCATCCCCCACATCCACTGGACAGTAGATGAACGGATGAGCCTATAGCCACTCAGACCATGCCACGTCCTCTCCTCTCAGCGCTACCTGCAAAATCACTTCTAAAAGTCAAATTACATTCTCTATTGAAAAGGTGATGATGATTTGGGTATTACCAAGCTGCTGCAGCAAATCACTCTTCCTGCATCCTACAACCGTGTCTGTACAGAAGCACTGGTATAGTTCTTACCATCCACAGAACCGAACTCCCTTTCATGTGCGCGAGTGAGAATCTCTTTGTACAGGGTTTCTGCTTGCTTGAATTTTCCTTGCTTCAGATAGCAAGAGGCCTTAAAATAAAATAAAGTACTTAGACTTCTTCATATATAAATGAAACATACACTCATACCTACAGATTAAATTACAAAACAAACTTCAAAATTTTAAAAAAAGGAATTCTGGCTTTATCTATAGAGTGTGCCTCTATCAACATACCAGGTTATTTTTCGTTTTGGCCACATTGGGGTCATCAGGCCCCAGTTTTGTTTGGTAGATCTCGAGGGCTCTTTGATAATAATATTCCACTTCTTCATACTTGCCCTGATTCTGGCACAGTAAGGCCAAGTTATTCAACTGTTTAGCAACATCAGGGTGATCCTTTCCCAAAACCTGGAACAAAATATAGTGTATTAGAAACACTGATTTGTTTGTTTCACTACCATCCAATCCATTCTCCACCTACGAGAAAGATCCTTCTAAACAGAAATGGGACTGTGCCTAGCCTCCAGACTTAACACCAGGCCTCCCCGTGCCATGTAATAATAAAAATAACTTCACCAGAACTCTCATTCCTGGGGGGTGGGAAGGAACTGTACATGCTTTAAACTTCTTCACTTCTTGGACTAAGCCCCCGGGAGCTGGCGATGGTGGACTAGGCACAGTCTTCAGATCAGGACGCTGTTGTAAAGGTTACGTTAGCATGGCCGCCAAGTTCTGGAAGAGCCCTATCTGACTCTAGCTGCTGCACAAGACGCATCCTGACATGTACGAGCAGCCTTCAAAGGGAATTTCCAGCTCTTCCACACAGCCTACATATCCCTCACACTAAGCCTCTGTGGTCACCAGAGCCACTTGCCCTCACACTTCAACTCCCCCTGCAGAGCCTTCCAAATTCTCATCCCAGATGCCTCATGTCCTTCTCCCAGTTCCCCCACCACACCCCCTAACTGATCAACCCCGGGTCCCCGCAGAACCTCTGAGAGGACACTTCCCTACATCCGACTGAAGGAAGCCCCGGCCCGGCCCCACCCTGGTAACTCACAAACATCCTGGTTTCTTTCTTTGCAAGAATCACTACCTAAAACTATCTTCTTGACCTATGAAGTCCACTGCCCATTATAACCAGGAGTGCCAATGCTACGTCTCCTTCACCAGCGTAAACGTCAGCATTCAGAAAGGTGCTGACACACAGGCAAATAAATATTAAACTATTTCCTCGGGACCTTGAACAAGCGATTCATTCTCTGAACCTTGTGCCTCCCCAAGGAAGCATGCTACCCCTCCGTCTCTGCACTCCCCTGCTCTCCCTGCCTGTGAACCTTGTTTAAAACTCAGTACAAATGCTGACTACTTGAGGGCAGCCATTCCCAGTGCACCACCCTCCTGGGACTTTGGGGGGCCCCTGCTCTGCACACTCCCAGAACTCTATCCTGGAAGCCAAGCACACTTATGCCCCCCGGGAAGGAGAGCTTTCTCTCATTTGTAAATCACCAGCTCTAACCAAGCAGGGCCCCCAAGAACTCAACACACACTGCTAAATCAGTGAAGGAATCTGGCAGACCACTGTATAGAGTTCATAATCCTTAATTTGATACTTATGTGCTCTCCTTGACTTTAACCCTAGTCCACTCAAAATCTATTTATTGCATAAACATCATGCAGACGGGAGCAGGAAAGAAGTTGTCCTGCATAATTTGATGATGAGCTCTTTTTATTTCCCCTTTCCCAATTTCTTGTCATATGGCTAAAGTTAAATGACCTTGCAATATCGCTGGTAAATAATCACAAAAAATACCAAATTAAAATACCACCCTTGGTCATTCATGGCATGGACCGGACACCCAAGCCTCCCTAACTGCTGAAATTAACAAACTACATTTTTTCCAATACCTAATTATTATAAACTGTAGCTCCTGATAGAATTACTATCCATGATGCTGACATCATCTACAGTTCTGAGTTACACTTTACTTCTGAAAATAATTTCATTTCTTAAGCTTTGCAAGCCTAGCTGGCGACTTTATTTTTAAACTCCAATGTGTTTCTTCTCGACAGGTACACACCCCACTGTGGAATGATATGCCCCCAGGCTTTCCACGGCCAGTCCTTAGAAGCTGTTCCTTCTGCACGCACTCCAGGCCCATCAGGCAGGGCGGGCATACATGATCACCCACTCCTCGTAAACATGGGTCTGAATGGGCCAAGCGGCTGTGCTTTGCAGGCTGTCCACCTCATCCCTTATCCAAGGAGTTATATTCAGGAAATGGTTAGTCACCACATACCACAGGGATCATCTCTCAAAACTTAAAACCTGAAATGCTTCAAAGGCACAGAACACCACATCTCAACACAAGGAGCACTGTTCCTTGGTCCGCACCTTTTCTCTGATCTCCAGGGCTCTTTTACACAGCGGCTCGGCCTCTTTGTACTTCCCTCTCTTGCCGTACAGCACTGCAAGGTTATTCAGAGTGGCCGCCACCTACCAACACAGAAGGAACATGAAGGAGTGGTAGAGGACCCACGGACAGGACTTCCGATCTCACTGTCCACCGATGCCCAGGGGGCACAGTGAAGTGCTCTTCGGTGAAGAAAGGAATGGCAGCAATTCACTAGATACAGATTCTGCAAAGTGAGTGCGGAATGTAAAAATTCAACAATCAACATCATCAGCGTGGTCCTGATTTGTCTTTTTTTAAATTTCACTGGAAGCCACAAGGCCAACCCAACCAACCCAAACACAGAGGTGTGCAAATCTGACCAGATTTTAAGAAAAAGACAATATAAATTCTTCAGAAAAAAAATTATCAAAGTACATGCAATTTGATTGAAGATAAAAAAACAGCACGTGATCCATTTGAGATGGCGATGCTGAACAGTGTGCGCAAGCGCATGTAAATAAGTATCAGAGTCCCCGGGACTGAAGCTGGTCCCTGGTGTCACATAAGTGAAGATGCCTACCTGTTCCATCAAGTGAAAAGGCAGCTCTTAAACCTTCCCTGTTGAGTTTAATATTAAAATGAGTTGGGTAAAAAAAATATTAGGGAAAGTAAAATATAAAAAGAATGAAAGAACCAGATATACAAACCGCTGGATGATCTTTGCCCAAAGTTTTCTCACGGATGGCCAAGGCATCGTTCAGTAGATTTGCGGCATCTTTGTATTTATTCTGGTCTCTAAATTAAAAGACATACGTTAAGTATTTTGGATGTAGCTTATTACATCCTTTTAAAATGTAATTTTGAAACTACAGAAATAAAAGTTTCAACTATTTAAAAACTAAAAAGTCAACTAATAAAAACACCTCTAGTGTATACGAAAAAGATTCCACCAACAAATGTGAACTTGGAATCCAGGCCTGATCACCTTCTGAAGCTGGCCCTCCACTGCAGATCACCCGGACAACGCCAGCCCCACACAACTAGCTACTCCACACAGAACAAGTGAGCCAGTCCAGAAAGTGGGCATAGCTTCACCTGCTTTCAGAACTGATGCCAGCATCTGAGCCGGGACTCTGCCGGTTAGCGGCTACAAGGCTTTGGGACATGAAGCTGCCTCCCACCATCCCCATCAGCCCATCTAGGAAGGAAGTGTATTATGTAACTCACAGAGTTGCTCTAGGAAGCTAAGGATATGCTATGTGCATAATGAAAAAGCTAGTGAAAAATAAATACAGTACATGATAGTGTCTTAATCAGGTACACAGCCTGCCACTGTTTGGTTGTAGTAAGAGGAATGAGGACATTTTTTGACTGTGGTAAGACAGATATGCCACCAGACCCAGCCTCTGCCCACCTTGGTTTACGTAACAAAGTGATTATAAAAGCTATTTGGTTTTGGGACTTAATGTTTCATGTTTCTTAACTATAAGAGCTGCATAAGAGCTGCCCAGCAAGGCGTGGCCCTACAGAAGCCCGTCTGCCCCACACACGTGGGAGGGGTTAAGGAGGCCCATGGAGCCTCTGAAGCACACTAATTCTGGGCAAGTATACTGAGATTTTTTTTTTCTCCAGTCATCGTACTACACATTATAAACTGGCTCAAACTTCTTGTAAAAATCGGCAAGCATGACAGTTTCAAAACCTACTAGGAACAGTTATAATGAGTAACAACCACAACAAGGTGTACTGAGCACCCTTCTAAATGCCGTAACCAGTCAGGGACTATAAACCTGGCCAAAGTGAGGTCACATGAAGAATCACACCAGTTCTCAAGCCTGGCCCCAAACCAAGGTCAAGGGACCTCGGCTGGAATGCTGACTCCCAGCCAGCCTCCCTGAACGAGCCCACCAGGAAATGCAAACTCAAAATGAAACAAAAGTACACCACCGCACACACGAAAATCCTAACAGAAAAACAGGCAAGACAACAGAACATCCACAGAAAGACACAAGTGACTAAAAATGTAACATCAAAGAGCTGCTGCAGAAGCTCTCCACTAAGGCAATGGAGGCCCCCAGCGCTGCCCTAGGCTGGGGACAGCGCGGCCGACACATAGACTGGATGCCACCTTCCCGATAAGCGGTTTCACAATATGTACCACATATCAACTGTTTAGGCTCTAACCCATTTTAGGAACTGATCCTAATAAAAATCCAGAATCTTAGACAAAACTTCTAAAGATATTTATCAGTATATTATGCTCTTCCCAAAAAGCTTAAAATTAAAATGAAATGTCTTTTAATACAAGAAAGGTGAAATGAGGTACAGCCCAGCAACAGCTGCCAATTTTGAATATAATGTGAATAGATAGGGCACTACTAATTTTCTTTTTTAACTTTCGTCCGATACGAGTAAACTCTCAGCCACAGCATTAAGGGAAACACAAGCTTGCGGAGAGGCCGCGGAGGCCCCAGCATGCCACACAGTGACGAGGGTGTGACCACACACACCCATGTGCCACAACAAAGACCCAGTTGGGCTCTGTGTGTCTCCTATTTACCACATTTATAATAATAACAGCAAGCAATGGCCAGAAATATTCAAGTTGTTAGTGCAAAAAAAGTGGTGGAATGAAACTCAACATCATCTCTCAAGATTTTAAATGTAAATACCTATGGCTAAGGAATCCCTACAATATGAAACCGTTAAAATCTCCAATGAACCTAAATGTCCATCAATAGGAAAACTGTCAAAAAAGCGTCTGGAACGTCCAGAAGGCAGACTGTTGTGCTGGCCTCATGAAGATTAGGGGGCTAACAGAGGGCAGAGCTGCTGAGCTGTTAAAGAGGGCTTCCTTTTTAGTGTTGTTTTGTTCTGTTTTGTTTTGTTGTTGTTGTTTTTTTTTAAAGAAACCGCTCGTCTCTATGGCTGGCTGGATTATTTTATTTCTCTTCTCTGAGCCCCTCTCCCCCTCCTTCCACACTGTCCCCGTCCTTGCTCAGATCCCTGTCCCCATCTCCACATCCCTAAGATCCTACACAAGACCCCAGGCTCTGGCCACCACTGTGTCGCATGCACCATGCTAAAGTGTCTCTCGTGACACCCACGAGGGAGCCCCCGTCCCCACGGGCACCCTTCTACACTGCCCACAGGGCACCCACAACCAGCCCACCTCCCACAACCGTTCTTCAGGCGCCACCCAGCTTTGCCACACCAGACTGAGGAGTCAGGTCCGAACACACTCAACACCGCTCACCACCTCCCCCCCTAAAACCCTACCCCCCCTTCAGGGCCCACAAAGAGTGGCTCCCCCCCTTCCGTTCATCCCTCCCTAATCCTCTCCACTGGACGGACTTTGTGTCCCATGAATACTTCTGTGTCATTTTATTAACAAGAACCCAGTCTCCCTGCTTCCGTAATTACACATGGATGTAAACAGCCTGTTTTCTACACAAGAATATAAGCTCCTTTAGAGAAATGCTATTTGAGTATTTCACAACTGTTGGGCAACACCGAGTGTCACATGCGCCACAGCCCTTCCCTCGGACCTCTGAGTGGATACTGTAACTGCCTCCATTCAGACACAAGAAAACTGGGGCTCAGAAAAGTTAAAAGCTCTGGACAACATCCTCGGTCTTGCGGCCATTAAGCAGAGATACACGCTGAGTTCTCCTGACTTAAATCTGGCGTTCTGGTTTCCCCGGAGGACAGGAATTACATACTCCTCTTTAGGGCCTCACAGGAACCAGCCTAAAATCCTACGTATACTTGTGGGTCCAAAATGGTGAATAAGGACGATGAAGAAACACAGATCCTTCACTGCAGCCCACAGAACTGGAAGGGCTGCAGCACAGCACTCCTGCTGTGTGAGCACTTCTCCCTCCTCAGGTCCCTACTCACCCGCCTCTGCTCTATTTCAGCTTAGTTCAGCTCAGAGACACGCACAAAGGGCTCCAACATGTCATGCCCTGTGCTGTAAAGGCTAACTCCTTCCTCACTTCCCTTCAATGCGTTCGCCCCGGGCTCCCCTAAGGGAGGAAGTGTGCTGGAGTGATGGGAGAGGCAGGGACACGGACACAGGCTGGTCCCCAACGTTAAGGGACACTACTCTGGGAGAAGAGAGAACAAAGCGCGAACAGCCCCGACGCCGAGCATGGCACACAAGCACCAGAAGGGAGGCAGGGATTAAGGGATCTGGGGCCACAACGGGGGCAAAGGGCAAGGGGAATCCGAGATTCAGAATGAAGAGAGAGCGGACAGAGAGACAGGAAGTCTATTCTAGACAAAAGAAATCTGGTACAGAGCCTTGTCAAAACAATCAACAGCTGGGTTTGGCCTGGGCGAAGGGTGCGTGTGGGCTACGCTAGACGGGGCGGCCTGACCCGGGTTGTTTCGGGCAGCATCTGTTCCGCAGGGTGACGGCCGTAGAGCTTGCTAAGTATCTTGAATTTAAGCCCCTGGCTGTTTGAGAAGTGAACGGTAAAGCCGGCGAAGCAGCTTATTCAGGTTAACAGAAACATTTTAAAGGCAAGTTCACTAGAAACATGGTCTCCAGGTAAGACGGGAGGATGAAGCGAGAGCACTAGCCTGTACACCAGGGCCAGGATGTTGAGCATGGTGGCCACGTCGGGGTGGTCGTGGCCAGACGTCTTCTCCAGGTCTTCCAGGGCCTGCTTGCAGAGCGGTACGGCAACCTCGTAGCGTCCCTGGGAGGCGTACTGGATGACCAGGTTGTGCAGAGTGCGCAGGCGCGCCGGGATCTCGTAGCCGCCCTGCTGTGCCGCCGCCGCCGCGCTGCTGTGCTGCTGCTGGACTGCACGGACAGAGCTCCACTTCAGAGGCGCTGGGACCGACTACGCAGACGACACCCCCCCACACACACCCTTCGTGTCTAGCTCTGGCCCAGGGTAGCACTTGGGCCCCCACCCCCCACCCCCGCTATGGACACCCGCGGAGCACTCCCCAGGAAGGCTGCATAACAGCAGTAACTTGTGAGGGGCGTGTGAAGCCCCCAAGGGAGCAGTCAGACTGCCCTCGGCAGCAAGCCAGTTCCACCTTTCCAACTCCGTACGAGTCCGCACGCCCCTACTTCACGTCCCTATTCTGTGGGGGGTGGAGTGGGTCTAACGTACTACTGTATCCCACCAAGAAACTCTCTGAAGTTCTTCTGGAAATACAATGCAATCCGAACACACACGTGCTCCCGTGAAGCAGGCCACTAACTGTGGCAATGACATCACAACAGGATAAACCACCTTCTGTTCTAGGCTGCCACTTAACCATTCCCCTTCGCCAACTTACTTCCTTGACCGGGTTCATCGTCGTCATTTGGGAAAAGGTCATCCAAAGGTTCTTTGGTGGAATCAGTGTCTTTGTCCTCCTATAAAATTAACCCAGAACAACTTTAGTCTTGCAAGTACTATAAGCCCTGTACTAGAAATCGTTAGTATAAATTTCATTTTAACAAAAAATCTTAAAAAAGATAATCAGTTTTTAAAATCAAATATAGTGCAGGGCGCCTGGGTGGCTCAGTTCGTTAAGCGTCCGACTTCAGCTCAGGTCATGATCTCACAGTCTGTGGGTTCAAGCCCCGTGTCGGGCTCTGTGCTGACAGCTCAGAGCCTGGAGCCTGTTTTGGATTCTGTGTCTCCCTCTCTCTCTGACCCTCCCTTGCTCATGCTGTCTCTCTCTCAGAAATAAATAAAACATTAAAATAAATTTTTTTAATAATAAAATAAAATATAGTGCATACTGGGAAAGCCTAGACAAGATAGTGAATAATAAATCAACCTGAAGACTAAAAACAACACAAGATTATTTTAAGTTTCAAAAACATTTTATATTTGTTGTGTAAAATGTGCTGTCATCATGGAGATTTCACTTGTATAACCTTACGAAGTTATGTTTTAAACACTAGACATTTCTGAGAACACATGATTCAACTAAAATAATAAAATAAAATAAAATAAAATAAAATAAAATAAAATAAAATAAAATAAAATAAAGGATTATCCACAATTTGGCTTATCCATTACAGAGTAATAAAAAGCTTGCTGGACTAGAATTCAAACACTAAATGAAGGCAGGGAGGGGAGCTGCGGCAAAAGACTTCCTTAGATGATTCACTAATTCTAAAGAAATTCAAATAAAGCAGGCTAACTCTTACTTGAAATAAATTTTATTTGGAAGCCAAATATGTAAAAACAGACTAAAATGGTCCATCTCTGAATGCCACAGACGTAGAGGGTTCCATCTCCCCTCCCTACTCACCACCTCACCACAGGACCCCTAAGAGCAGTCTGAAACCTGCCAGCTTTGAGTCTATGACTCAAGTGTCCCCACAGATCAGTGCAGGGGTCAAAACCAGAACTACACAATGGACAAAACAGACAATAGCCTGACCAAGTGAGAAATCAGCACTACCCTGGGGCAGATGACATCACTTGCATCTGGAAGGGTTAATCTGATGAAAAGTACACAGAAGTCACCTAGGGAATATTCCTATCTGGGATGTGTGATCTAAATACACTCACAGAGAAACATCAGACAAACCCACACTAAGAACAATCTACGAAGTAACTGGCCTGTACTCTTCAAAGATGTCTATGTTACGAAAGGAAAAGAGATTTTTTTTTCTTTCTTTGAAGAGGACCTCTTTCAGGGGAGTCTGATTGGTTAACTTAGTCGGTTGAGCATCAAACTCTAGATTTCAGCTCAGGTCATGATCCCAGAATTCCTGGGATTGGGCCCCACGCCAGGTTCTGCACTGACAGCAGGGAGCCTGCTTGGGATTCTGTCTCTGTCTCTGCCCCTCCCCTACTCACACACACCTGCATTCTCTCTCTCTTAAAATAAACACTTTAAAAAAAAAGAAAAAAAGGATCCATGTCAGATGAAAGATGACTAAGGAATCGTGACAGCTAAGTGGACCAGACCCCCCCCCGCCCGGTGAAATAATGCTATGAAGGGCTCTGCTGAGACAATCATGATGGAGTACAGAGTAGACAAATACTGTGCCCATGTTCAAATGTGGACTTGACCTGGCTCTGGACTCCACAGGGGTATGTCCTCATGCTAGGGGGCCATGGCCAGCAGCAGGGGAGTGTGGATGACATGTGACACTTATTCTAACACGGGTCAGAACAGTCATGCGTGTAGACCCTGAACAAGAGGCAGAGCTAGCTCACTGTTGGCTCTCTTCTCCAAGCTACTTTTTCCAAAATAAAAAGTTCTTAAAGTCTCTGATTCTGTACAAGTTTACAACATTATCCGGTATTCTAGGTGAATCACTGGCTGGCTTCAGTATCTCTATTTATTCTCATTCCCACAACAGCATAGAGTAGTGTCTTTGAAATCAAAACATGGGGGCGCCTGGATGGCTGAGTTGGTTAAGTGTCCGACTTCGGCTCAGGTCATGATCTCGTGGTCTGAGAGTTCGAGCCCCACGTCAGGCTCTGTGCTGACAGCGCGGTCCCTGGAGCCTGCTTTGGATTCTGTGTCTCCCTCTCTCTGTCCATCCCCCGTTTATACACTCTCTCTCTCAAAAATGAATAAATATTTTAAAAAATATAATAATAACAAATCAAAATAAATCAAAACATTTAGTTACTCTGCAAGGGAGAAATACGGTAAGCCTAATAAAACACGGTGCTGTGGACTAATGTCCCCCCCCCCCCCCCCCCCCCGCCCACAATCACATACTGAAGCCCTAACCTTCAATATGATAGCATGTGGAGATGGGGCCTTTCACAGGTAATGTGGGTCAGATGAAGTCATGAGAATGGGGCCCGTGACAGGACTAATGTCCCTCTTTATAGGAAGAGGAAAAGACACTCGCTCGCTCGCTCTCTACCCATGCACGAAAGCAGGCCATGTGAGGACACAACCAGGAAAAAGGCCCTTGCCAAGAGCCCAATTGTGCTGACACCCCAATCTTGGAATTGGGAGAAACGAGCCACATGGCCTATGGTATTCTATCACAGTGGCCCAAGTGCATGAAGACGGGCACCATGGTGACTGTGGTAACAGGAGGCGTGACATTAGGGGAAACGGAATAAAAGATACATGGGAATTTTTCAATTTTTCTATGAATCTAAAATTACTACCAGGCACCTGTGTGGCAATCGGTTAGGTATCTGGTTTTAGTTCAGGTCATGATCTCACAGTTTGTGGGTTCAAGCCCCACATCGGGATCTGTCTGCACTGACAGCTTAAAGCCTGGAGCCTGCTTTGTTTTTCTATCTCTCTGTCCCTCCCTGCTTGTGCACATGTACTCTCTCAAAAGAAATATTTTAAAAAATAATAATAAATACTAATACTGAAATTACTCCAAAATTTCTTTTAAAATTGTTTTTAAGTTAACTGAACAGATATAAATGGTGGACAAAAAATAATCAAGGCTGGGATGAACATCCACAGAGAATTGGGGCACCTGGCTGGCTCAGTTGGTTAAGCGTCCGACTTCAGCTCAGGTCATGATCTCACGGTTCGTGGGTTCGAGCCCCGCATCGGGCTCTTTGCTGACAGCTAGCTCAGAGCCTGGAGCCTGTTTTCCGATTCTGTATCTCCCTCTCTCTCTGACCCTCCACTGCTCATGCTGTCTCTCTCTCTCTCTCTCTCAGAAATAAAACATTAAAAAAAAAAAAAAAAAAAGAACATCCACAGAGAATCAACAGAAAAGGAGAAAACCAAAATCCATGGGGAACTCTGACTTTCCAAGAACAAGGTAAGTAGGCAAGAAGGAAGCATGAGTGAGAAACAGGAGACCAGGCAGTGTCCTGGGAGCAGGGAGAAGAGAGTGTAAAGGCCCACAGCACCACAGGCTGCAGACTCCGATTCCAGACCCTCCCCCGCTGCACTGCGGACGACTGGGTGGGACGCACACTGACCTAAGAGAGTTCCCACAGCGCGTGAGCATGGAAGCCAGACTCTGTGGGTTAAAATGTTCCAGGGATCTCAAGCTGGGACAGACCTTGTCAGGTGCCTCTGTGCGTCTGCCTCACGTTTACAAGTATTTTTACATTTTCTGACCACTCTTCTAGAACACACATATGAGGGCACCTGGGAGGCTCAGTCAGTTGAGCGACCAACTCTTGATTTCGGCTCAGGTCATGGTCTCAGAGTTCCTGAGGTCAAGCCCTGCATCAAGCTCTGCGCTGACAGCACGAATCCTGATTGGGATTCTCTCTTTCCTGTCTCTGCCCCTCCCCTGCTCGCGTACATGTGCTAGCTCTCTCTCAAAAATAAACTTAAAAGGGGCACCTGGTGGCTCAATCGGTTATCCATCTAACTTCAGCTCAGGTCATGATCTCAGTTTGTGGGTTCGAGCCCCACATCAGGCTCTGTGCTGAAAGCTCAGGGCCTGGAGCCTGCTTTGGATTCTGTGTCTCCCCTTCTCTCTGCCCCTCCTCTGCTCATGCTCTGTCTCTGTTTCTCAATAATAAATGTTTAAAAAAATATAAAAATAAGCTTTAAAAAAAGAAAAAGTAAAAGAACTTTAAGGCACACACATGAAAAGCACACGGCCAGGAGAACCTTCATATGCCAAGGGCCTAAGTCCCAAGATTAGAATCCTTGGTCTTACTAAACACAATCACTAACGGGGAGAGAAGAACACTGACAGCTTTACTAAAACAACCTACTAACTATAACATGATTAACTGTCAATACTGCATTCCTACTGAGCCACTTACGGATGGAGAGATGTCATCATCATATTTTTTTAACTGATTCATGAATTCCAGATGCTTCTTTTCTTCCTCCAGCTGAGCCACAGACTGCTCGCTCTTCTGTAATTTCTGCTGCGTGTTGGCCAGTTCATCCCGCAGCCACTGGTTCTCCTGGCACAGGCGCCGAACCTGTGCACGCAGCTTCTGCTTCTCCGACTCGACGGCATTCAGGTGATTGGACAAAGCCATCATAACCTGGCAGACAGGAGCAATGACAGCCCTGCAGGGCCCATGCCACACACCCCCACCCCCCACGCACGTGCCACGCTTGCAGCTCTCCTTACACTTGCAGGTGTGTGCTACCTGTGTGCAACTGCCGCTCACCTCCCTGCCCGCCCTCGGTCCCAGGCGCCCGGGGGCACGTGCTCAGAACACCTAATGGGGACTCTACGGTGCTCGGCTGTTTAGCGTGGCAAACAGACCGGCAATGGACACACAGTTAACTCTTCTGACAGAACTATTTTTTTACTTTCTACCTACGTGGCTCCAACATAACTTCTCAGAGACCCTTTCCCACTGAGAGTGTGTGCACAAGCATGCATATGCATACTTGTCGCTCAGGGAGGGGCTGGTGATGGAGCCAGGGAAGGGCGGGCACGCAAATCTCTGAGGTTCCAAGGAAAGGGAGGAAATCTTTGTAGCCAGCCAGGCAGTCAGAATGCCCTCTGCATTCTTAAGCTTAGGCCCAGGCTACAAAATGTGGTGACAGCCCAGTGCTCTGCTCTGCCTGTGGTACACTGATCACTTTCAGGGACAGACCTGCCTGAGGCGTTAGCAAGCTCCTAGGAGTACCTGAGCAGGAGGAGCTGGGAAAAGCTGGCTCCAGTCTGTTCTCTCTGTACACCATGCAACTGCCCTTCCCTCTATTGTCCTAAGCTTCAAACCTAAACTCTAGAAAGTGGGGCTTTTTCCTCCTTTGTTCTTAACCCTAATACCTGTCAAACTAACATATTCATATCACTTTTCAACAACAGAATTTGCATATAACAGATTCACAATAACCAAACACAGTTAAAGTTCTACAATCAGTCTTTCACGGAGTGGGAACGAGGAACCCTAGAACTGGGGTATGGACAGGGCTGTGGACACACAGTGTCCTCCACATGGACATGGGAAACAGGAACCTAGCAGCCCCACCTCTCTCTTCACTTGCTGCACGAGAGAAAAGCTAAGAAAGAAAGAAGCCAAATTTTAGCTCATGCAATTTTATCTGAAGTATGCTGGCACAGCCAACAGCTATCAGCAGTACAATTACCACCTAGATGCTCCTAAATTTTCACCTCTATGTCCAGCATGATAAAAACAAAGGTTTAATCAAAAACAAAGATCTAGGGGCACCTGGATGGCTCAGTCGGTTAAGTGTCTGGCACTGGCTCAGGTCATGATCTTATGTTTTGTGAGTTCAAGCCCCACATCAAGCTCTCTGCTGTCAGCACAGAGCACCCCGTCCCCACCTGGGATCCCGATCCTCCTCTCTCTGCCCCTCCCCCATCTTCTCTCAAAAATAAACAAATATTTAAAAAAACAAACCCACAAAGGTTTAGCAATCTTGTCTTAGGGTACTGCATAGACTAAGCTATTGGCCAATATCCATTCTCCTTCTTCCTTAGGCTTAAGAAGGTGGAACTGTGAGTGAGCAGGGCAACATTCCCTGGTCTCCCTCATAACTAGGTGGCCACTGAAATGTAAGCAACGTTGTGTACCAGCTGGAGGCAGTAAAGGGAGGAGGTACACCCTTCCTGGCCCTTCCCTGTCCTAGAATGGGGTCATGTGGCTGCAGCTGGAGCTCTTAGTCCACAAAAGAGGCAGTGAAATTCAGAGGCCTGGGTCACCCTGAGGGCTGTGCAGCTATACAACCTGCCTGGGGCGGCCTACCTTGGTATTTATTTTATACACGTCCATGATGCTTAAGCCACTGCTTTCAGTTCTGATATATGCAGCCACATCAAATTCTAAATGACAAACAGGGTTACCTCTATTTTACTGCCTCTGCTTTTTAAAATTTAGACGTGCCCAAATCAATCATCATTTATGTTACATACAAGCTGATCGTTATTCTGTAAGTACCTTCCCTCTAGTTTAATTAAACTGCATATTTCAGATGGAACTTCCATCTCTCAGACTACAAAGTGCACGTTCCTGTCTGAGGCGACCTCACTCGTACCTGTGCCTCGCTCAGGCCAAGCTCCAGCATTTCCAGTGACTTCCGGATCATGTTTGATTTCTCCTCCACCAGGTTACTTTCATCATCTTTCTTCAAGCACTTCAGTGTTTCCAGTAAACTCTGTAAAATGGAATTATGCTCATTCTTCAGAGCTTCCAGCCCCTGAATCACTTGCTTGGTCTTAGAAATAATTTCATCCTGTGTAAGCTTCTCCAACTTGTCTTCCTTTATATACACCATCGTGGACATGTTGTCATACATTCTAGAATGGAAAAAGGAAAACAAATTAGGTATCGTGTTACAGGTTTGATTTATGTTACATCGTTAACAAAAGACACTGTGTGAAGACTCTTAAATTAACATGTTTTAGGTGAATAATTAATAAACATGTATTTGTGACTTGTTGAATACGTACTGTTTCTCTTTTCCCTTTGCAGAGCAATTTAATTATTTTTCTGGCTTAGGTCTGAATTCTTTTTAATGGAACAAATGAAAGCAACTGAAATTAATGCCAAAGATTAAAAGCAGCAAAACAACCAAACGGCATTTGCAAAGCACAAAGCCTCAGTGAACAAAAGTTCTCTGAATGTTTGCAAGCTTTTTTCCCCCTTAATGAATTGCAGAAGGACAGTAAATTCTTGGTGACATATTTACCAGACAAAGCCTTGAGAAGTGGTCACAGTTGGAAGAAGGAAGAAAACCAGCAAAGGAACATGGGAACAATCAGAGCAGCAGGAGAAGGGCCAGGTCTGTCGGAAACACGGTGAGAGAGTGACATGAGCAGGGTCATCAGCACTGGACAGGCTCAAGGAGAATGACAGCCACGCAGGCCTACGGGATGGGACTGGCCGAGGGACCCACAAGAATTCATGAAATCATACAGTGTCTGCAACCGACTGCAAAATACCACAATGAGAAAGAAAAATGAAAGGGGCATAAAACAGCATCAGCAAGATCATGGTGACTGCTGACACAAAGCAACAGTCTTTTACCAACCTATAGGTTTGTGGATGTTTTTAAATCCCATAATTCACTTTTAGGGAGGAAGGAAGGGAGGGAAGGATAAAGAAAGAGAGACAGAAAGAGAAAGAGAAAGAAAAAGAGAGAAAGAGAAAGGTGGGAAGGAGCTAAGGGGGGGTGGTTCTGGGTGGCTCAGTCGGTTGAGCATCCGACTTCAGCTCTGGTGATGATCTCAATGCTCATGGGTTCGAGACCCACACAGGCTCTGACAGTCAAAAGCCTGGAGCCTGCTTCAAATTCTGACTCCCTCTCTCTCTGCCCCTCTCCCACTTGTGCTTTCTCTTTCTCTAAAAATAAACAAACGAAAAAAAATTAAAAAGAAAAGAAGGAAAGGCCTGTGAGTATTGAGGAAGGTTGTTCAGGGGGTCCCTGGGTGGCTTAGTTGGTAAAGTGTCCGACCCTTGATTTCAGCTCAGGTCATGATCTCAGTTTGTGAGTTTGAGCCCCACATCTATGCTAACAGCGCAGAGCCTGCTTGGAATTCTCTCTCCCCTTTTCTCCCTCTCTCTGACCCTCCCTCCCTCATTCTCTCTTTTAAATAAAAAAGATTTTATGGGGCGCCTGAGTGGCTCAGTCAGTTAAGGGTCCAAATTCAGCTCAGGTCATGATCTCGTGGTCTTGAGTTCAAGCCCTATGTTAGGCTCTGTGCTGACAGCTCAGAGCCTGGAGCCTGCTTCGGATTCTGTGTCTCCCTCTCTCTTCCCCTCCCCCCCTCGCACTCTGTCTCTCTGTCTCAAAAGTAAATAAACATTTAAAAAAAATTTTTTTTATTTTAATCTTAAAAAATAAAAATTAAAAAAAAAATCATTTAAAGGGGCGCCTGGGTAGCTCAGTCGGTCAAGTAAGTGTCTGATTTTGGCTCAGGTCATGATCTCACGGTGGGTTCAAGACCCGCGTTGGGCTCTGTACTGACAGCTCAGAGCCTGGAGCTGGTTTTGGATTCTGTGTCTCCCTCTCTCTCTGCCCCTCCCCCGCTCATGCTGTGTTTCTGTCTCAATAATAATAAACATTTTTTTTAAAAGGAAGGCTGTTTACTGACTGGGATTGAAGTCAGATTACATGTCAAAGTGATTTCCTTCAGAGCGCATAACCACTACCTGAGATCTTGTTTGTTTTCACATATTGTCTTCTATCCTTAAACATAAACTTTACTTAAAAGGCAAGGGGGGGGGGGCACCTGGATGGCTGAATAGGTCAAGCATCTGATTCTTTTTTTTTTTTTTATGTTTATTTTGAGAGAGAGGGGAGGGGGGACAAGGAAGCAGAGAGAGAGGGATAGAGGATAGGAAGCAGACGCTAAACTGTCAGCACAGAGCCCAACACAGGGCTCAAACTACGAACTGCGAGATCATGACCTGAGTCAAAGTCGAACGCTTCACCAACTGAGCCACCCGGGCGCCCTGAGCACCTGGCTCTTGATTTCAGCTCAGGTCACGATCTCATGGGATGGAGCCCTTCGCCGGGCTCTGTGCTGACCATATGGAGCCTGCTTGGGATCCTCTCTCCCTCTCTCTCTCTCTCTGCCCTTCTCTCTCTGCACTCTCTTCTGCTCTCTCCCTCAAAATAAATATATAAGCTCTTAAAAAATACAAAAGAAATAAAAAGCAAGAACTTGGAGCACCTGGGTGGCTCAGTCAGTTAGAAGTCCAACTTGAGCTCATGTCATGGTCTTGTGGCTCATGAGTTTGAGCCCCACTTTGGGCTCCCTGCTGTCAGTGCGGAGCCTGCTTCAGATCCACTGTCCCCCTCTTTCTGCCCCTACCCAACTCACGCTCACTCTCTCTCTCTCTCTCAAATAAATAAAAACATTAAAAACAAAAAGGCAAAGGGCTGTATCTGGTGCCCTAGTAAATCACAGGACCTAGGACAGCTCCTGAGCCTGGCAGACCACCTGGTGAATCCACTGACCGACAGCCACTGGGTGAGGGAAGCAGTGTCAAAGCACCAAACACAGGCCACTTGTTCCGGACTTGGGAGTAAAGGCTCCAAGTAGTTAGTAACAGGCGTCATGTTAGTAATTGTGCACACGGTTTTACAGTGGAAAACTGATCATTTATTTTTGCGTAACTACAAAGAGTCAATTCCTCTTGAAATTTAGAGGCTATCTCTGTAGGACTATTCAGAGAAATCCACCTCTGTACCACAAAAAGCTCAGAAAACAGTCAAAGAACAGAGGTAACTCCTCTACCTGACAGTCGATTATCATCAGATCTGTCATGTATTTAGTGTATGTCTCTCCAATGCTGCTGCAAAATCCAGGAGAGCAGGCACCTCACTAAGCATTTGGCACCTCAGTCCCAGGCTGTCCCGCAGTAAATGCTAACTACATATTTGCTGAATGAATTAACAGAACATTTTAGGAGCAGCTTCCAATGAGCATGTCTCAACATCACTACATTAAAGTGCCAGCCTGGCCGTTACCTAGTTCCTACAGGTGAAGGGAAGGATGTCCAGAATGGATGTCCCTAGAGAAAGGACGAAAATCAAGCCACTCCACCTATGGCAGCAATTTCCAAATGATGCAACATTTTAGTCTTTTCGTTCCCAAAGTAGAAGATCCAAGTGTCTTACTGAAACTCCAGGCTAGGGGCTAAAAGGCACAGCTAGGACGTACAGGTGACCAGACACTAAGCTAAGGAAGCAGACACGTGCAGCGAGAGCTAACGGCACTGTCAGGACCTGCGGGCTGGGAGCCCTCCACTGAAGAAGGGAGGCCAGACGCACGGAAGAAACAACTCCTTGCTGAGCCAGTCTTACCAAATGAGCACATCTCCTCCAGAGGGAGTGCGGAGCGCACTCCCAGCCAGGCGAGCAACAGAGCTCAGGGCAGAGGTATGAAAGCACCCACTGCCTAGAGCAGCCTCATCTGGCTGCAGGTCCTTGTGACCGAGGCTCAAGGTGACAAGGCCAGAGGGCAAGGGCTGCAGGGAGCGAGTGCGCTGGGCACGCCCAGGACAGGGAAGACAACTCGGGGGTGACGGCCTGAGCCCAGCCCAGCAGACACGCTGCCCTTACTTCCCCAGCCCTCTGCCAGAATAAGGTTAGTGCCTCTCCGCGGGAAGCCAAACACCCAGCCAGTACTTTCTTATGGTCTTTTCAAATAATATTAAACTTGAGGGTGCAAAGGAGAGTCTGTAGACTCTAATGAGAAATGAGAGCAACTTCATTACTCAAACCACCTGTTTGGGCACGAATGGGAAGTAAACTATGATACTGTCAATGAATCCTGTTCCTCAAAAAGTTAAAATCAGAACTACCCTACAATCCAGTAACTGCACTACTGGGTATTTATCCAAAAAATATAAAAACACTAATCTGAAGGGATGCATGCAACCCAATGTTTACATCAGCATTATCAACAATAGCCAGATTATGGAGTGCCCAAATGCCCACTGACTGATGAATGGATTAAAATGGAGTATTACTCAGCCATGAAAAAAGAAGGAAATCTTGCCATTTGAAACATCTATGGACCTAGAGGGCATAACACTAAGTGAAATAAGTCAGAGAAAGACAAATCCCATATGATTTCACTCATATGTGGAATTTAAGAAACAAGAAAGGAGAGAGAGAGGCAAAACAAGAAACAGACTCTTAACTACAGAGAACACACTGATGGTCACCAGTGGGGAGGTGGGTGGGCGGATGGGGAAAATAAGTGATAGGGATTAAGGACTGCACTTGTGATGACCACTGGGTGACCTCTGCAATTGCTGAATCACTATTCTGTACACCTCAAACTAATATCACGCTGCATGTTAACTATACCAGAATTAACATTTAAAACTTTAAATAGGGGCACCTGGGTGGCTCAGTCGGTTAGGCGTCCGACTTTGGCTCAGGTCATGATCTCACAGTTCACGGGTTCAAGCCCTGCGTCAGGCTCTGTGCTGACAGCCAGCTCAGATCCTGAAGCCTGTTTCAGATTCTGTGTCTCCTTCTCTCTCTCTCTCTCTCTCTCTGACCCTCCCCTGCTCACGCTGTCTCTCTCAGAAATAAATAAAACATTTAAAAATTTTTAAAAAGATAAAACTTAAAAAAAAAAACAACACATTAAACTCCAACCAATCATAATGATGGTCAGTGTCCTATCTCTACAGGTTAGAGTGGAGGCTGATCAAAGGGGAAGAGAGGGCAGTTCTGTTTACGAAAGAAAAAGAAAAAATGGGGCAGGACAAAGGGTTTAAACAGGAATAGCAAAATCCTATCAGGTAGGATTCATATACAGGAAAAAAATCAAAACAAAATGGGAAAATTTAATCGTTTTAACTAAGGGGATGTGTCAAGTAAATAAATACATTTAAAGAATAAGTAGGGGCGCCTGGGTGGCTTAGTCGGTTAAGCATCCAACTTTCGCTTAGGTCGTGATCTCGCGGTTCGTGGGTTCGAGCCCCGCGTCGGGCTCTGTGCTGACTGCCAGCTCAGAGCCTGGAGCCTGTTTCAGTCTGCGACTCCCTCTCTCTCTGACCCTCCCCTGCTCACGCTGTCTCTCTCTCTCTCCTAGAAATACATAAAAAACATTAAAAAAAAAAAAGAATAAGTAAACACATTTTGAAGAAATCCAAATTTGGGTCACCTGGCTGGCTCAGTCTGTAGAGCGTGCCAGGGTCATGAATTTGAGCCTCACGTTGGGTGTAGAGATTATTAAAAACAAGAAATCCAAATTTAGTTCCTCGAGGAATATGTAACAGAACTGGTGACACCATATGTATGCTCACACTCTCATAGAGGCTTTAACCACAGATAAGAGTAACAAATACAAATGTCATCTGGACGCACATAAATAAAAGGGGGGGGCAATTAAGGCAGATTTCTTTTTTAACTTACTCTTAACAGAAAACTGGTAAGAATCCAAATGCTCTTGGGAGGCACTGAGCTCTCTTAAGAACGGAGATGACAGGGACGCCTGCGTGGCTTAACTGGTTAAGCGCCCGACTAGCTCAGGTCATGATCTCAAAGTTTCTGAGTTAGAGCCCCACACCGGGCTCCGCACTGGCAGTGTGCAGCCTGCTTGGGAGTCTCTCTCTGCCACTCCCCAACTTGCACTTCCTCTCTCAATCTCTCAAAATAAATAAACTTAAACAAACAAACAAACAAAAAAGGCACTGAGGGACAGGCGCTATGGAGAGCACAGGCCTCGGAATCCAGAGCAAGCAGGCACAAAACCTGGCTCTGCCACCACAGCACAGGCTAAGTCCCCAAGCCTCCCTCGGTCCGGAGGTTCAAGGGGGCCTCCCTCTCCGGGAAGCTACAGGCACAGGAGAACGCAGGTGAGTCACTAAGCACAGTGGCTGACGGTAATCAGTGCGCTTTCCCACCTGGGAGCCAGGCTCTCAGGAACACCCCTGACAAGTGCCGATCACCATCTGCACAAACATCTCTTCTAACACGGGCCTCAGTGCTTTGCAAGGCAGTTGATTCCTTGTTAGACTGCTCTGATATGTAGTTAGGGAGTTACTCCTTTTGCTGAGTTGAATCTCTCTCCCTAAACTTCTATCCATTGAGCCAACTTCTTCCCTCTAATATAAACACAAAATATACTATCTTATCCACAAGACATTTCAAATATTGTAGTTCAATCAGAGGATTCTCCAAATCTTCCATTTCCCAAGCTCATACCTCCTGCCACCCTCAGGCACCCCTCAATCCAAACCCCTCATCCAATCCACCATCATATAAATATACTTCCATACGCCACTCCTGCAGAGGGAGACCCACACCAGCATACAGGTTTATACTGCTCCGTATCTCTCTCAAGTTCTAGGCTAAGTCTTCATAACCAAAGATGGGTTATATAAGAAATAGTGCTGAAGGAACTGGCCATTTAGGAAAAAAACTGTGTCGTATTCCTACCCTTACTATTCACTAAATTCCATTTTGATTAAAAAAATTAAATGTTGAAGATAAAAAACATAAGAAGCTAGAAGAAAACTCTGACAAAGGTATATATGCATATGGGTGAAGGTAAAGAGCAATCCTTGAATAAAATGGTAGAAAACTAAAAGAAAAGATGGATAAGAGTTCACTTAAATAAGAAACTTCTCAAGTTTGCTATAAAAACGTCTAGCTGAAAGAGTTCTTCTAACAGGTACACTGATTTCTAAAGAGGAAAAATGCTGGGAATCTAGGTCTGCTCAAACATCACACGTTATCAGCCAAGTGATCGCAGCATCCCTAAGACTTTCTTACAATGCTTGGGCTGTGTATGCTTCCCAGTGATTCTGGAACAATGAGTCGGCCAGAACAATGCCTGCCACTCCACAGGCATGTTAAGTATGTGCTCAATAAATCCATGCAACATGGGGTGCCTGGCTGGCTCAGCTGGGAGAGCATGTGACTCTTGATCTCAGAGTCGTGAGTTCAAGCCCCATGTTGGGTGCAGAGATTACTTAAAAATAAACAACCTAATAAAAACTTCAAAATGAATGAATAAAATAGCCCTGAAGCCAGCGCATCTGATTCCAACTCCCTACTACCCCCTCACCTGCTATGGAACTTCCTGAAGCCTCAAATACTCCCTCCCCTCCCCTCCCCTCTGAGTAATACACCCAGTATCTGGCCCCAGGTTATTCTTATTCTATGGCAAATGATGTATTATGTTTTTATTTCAAAAAAAAAAGGGGGGGAGGGAGCACTCTTTGAAGTCCCATTATCTGCTCTGTGAAAGCAAAAGAATTCAATACTCAGTGCATAATCTCCAACACAGCACTTGACAAATCTCACATCTGAATTAAGCTCCTTAAACACGAGCTTATGGTCAAACCGCTCAAATCCATTGTTCAACAAGCAAAGCTATTTCAGTCTATTACGCTGCTCATGTCACATTCAAATCCCCAACAAAGTCGGTACTGAGTCTACAGATTACAAAGTCACTACCTAAAATAACGAAGACAAAAATAATCCTAAAGCTTGATCTTCATTTTTCTTTCATTTTAACTACTTTTGTCTCCATTACTTTAAATTGTGGTTCGATCTTTGCTGTTTTTATTGGGTACTACGATGGTTTTGATGTGTATTTTAAATACAACTCTCACTTCCAAGGATTCACATCAGTCATTAACTCATGACACAACACCCAAGAAACCTAGTCTATCCCGACATTCAGATCCCCAGTTAAATCCTGCGTGTAGCACTTTGTAACCCAAAAATATGGCAATATTTATTTCTAAGATGCCAGTGAAAAATAATAAAAACAGACATGCTCTCCTACAAACTACAGGCTGGCAGAAGCGAGGGAGTCCAGCTGACCCTTGAACAACACGCGTGTGAACTGGGCAGGCTCACTTCCACGTGGGTAGTTTACAGTACTGTACTATAAATACATCTTCTCCATGGTTTTCTTAATATTTTTTTTCCTCTGCCTTACTTTATTGTAAAAATATAGCAAATAATATATGTGACATACAAAATACATGTTAATCAATTGTTATATCATCAGCATGGCTTCCAGTCAACAGTAGGCTATTACTAGTTAAGTGTTTGAAGAGTCCACAGTTACATGCAGATCTGTGACTGTGCAGGGCTGTCAGGTGTTGGGTGTCAAGGCCTAGAACCTTTGTGTTATTCAAGAGTCAATTATATAATGTTGTTCTTTCAAAGGTCTAACTTCCCTTTGGAAACACAGGAAACCAAAAAACAGGTTTCTTGATTAAGAAAGAAATTAGGGGCACCTGGGTGGCTCAGTTAAGCGTCTGACTTGATTTCAGCTCAGGTCATAATCCCAGGGTCATGAAATCAAGCCCCGCACAGGGTTCCACACTGGACAGGGAGCCTGCTTCAGATTCTCTCCCTCCATCTCCCTCTGTCCCTCCCTACCCGACCCCCCCCACCCCCCCCCAGTCAAAAAAATTAGGGGCACCTGGGTGGCTCAGTCAGTTGAGCTCAGGTCTCAGGTTTCTGCTCAGGTCACTCTTGATATTGGCTCAGGTCATGGGATTAAGTCCTGCATGGGGCTCTATGCTGAGCGTGGGGCCTGCTTGGTACTCTCTCTCTCTCTGCCCCTCTCCCCCTCCTGCATGCTCTCTCCCCTTCTAAAATTAAAAAATGTTTAATTAAAAATAAAAATTAACTAAATCCCTACATGTTCAAACCTGAAACAAGATGAACGAGGCAACTGAACCAACTCTGTATCAGTGTATCTAGTGATACAAGTAAGGAGAGGATCTAGACCTTGACAGTAACTGAAGATACGACCAGCAGTAACTAACATGCAGGCATATCGCTAATGCTCCATTACTCAAGTATGACAAAAATACCAGACAGCAATATTAATTTGCACATTCTATTGCTTTACTTCAGCTTAGAAATACTCCAAGCAGAGGTAATATGCAAAATTGAAAATAGCTCCTCTAATACTAAAATTATCCTTTTAATTTGTCCTTTAACATAACCTGTCCTTTAGGCCAAGACTGAGTGCTTTTTTAATTTTATTTATTTATTTTAGGTAATCTCTATACCTAACGTGAGGCTCAAACTCATGACCCTGAGATCAACAGTCACATGCTCTACCAACTGAGCCAGCTAGGTGCCCCAAGACTGAGCTTACTTACTCTAACACACCAGTGATTAAGAGAAATCTTCAGTGTTACAATCAACTCCTGTAAAGGATGATGGAAACTGACAAATTTACAGTGGACAATTCTGAGGGCGCTTGGGGGCTCAGTCGGTTGAGCATCCATCTTTTGATCCTGGCTCAGGTCATGATCTCACTCATAAGATGGAGCCCTGTGTCGAGCTCTGTGCTGAAAGCATGGAGCCTGCTTGGGATTCTCTCTCTTCCTCCCCCTCTCTCTGCCGCTCCCCCACTCATGCTCACTCTCTCTCTCAAAATAAATAAACCTCAAAAAAATAAAGTGGACAACTGTGTACAATGCGAGGCTGATGCTTTAAACTGAGAAGCAGGACTGCTGTGTCGGCAGAGGCACGGCAGGGGGCTGCAGGGACTCAGGTGAGGCGACACACGAGAGAGGCCGAAGGACCCTTGGCCTGCAGACCAGCACCAGTCAGGCCCTGGCCTCCGGAGGGGGAGGGGGAGGTGTCAGTGACAGAAACAGTCACCCACTCGGTTTATTTAATGGGCACCAACTCTACCTATGCCAGATGCTGTCCTAAGTACAGGACGTGGACTATATGAAAAAAATACTTTTTAAAGAAAATAAAAATATTGTGGTGACAAAAAAATATCCTGGAGCACCTGGGTGCTTCAAGTCGGTTAAGCGTCTGACTCTTAATTTCAGCTCAGGTCATGATCTCATGGTTTCATGGGTTGGAGCCCCGCACTAGGCTCTGTGCTGACAGTGCGGATTCTCTCTCTATGCCCCTCCCCAACTTGCATTCTCTCTCTCTCTCTCTCTCTCAAAATAAATAAACTTACACACACACACACACACACACACACACACACACACACACACTATATCCTACACGTTCCTGGGGCTCAGGGGTAGGGGTTGTATAGACAGAATTAAAACAATCAGAATGGCTTCAGACTTCTCAAGAGCAAAACTGGAAGCAAAAGGCAATTAAATGCCTCCAAAGCTCTGCAGGAAAATTATTTCCAATTTCCATTTCCAAAGCCAGCCAAACTCTCCATCAACCGTGGGGGCAGAATAATAACATTTTCAGACATGCAAGGTCTCACACACTTTTACCTCTCGTGCACCGTTTCTCAGGCTACAGGAAGATGCGCCCAAGCAAAATGAGAAGAAGAAAACATGGAACATGGGTACAGGGTCCCCCCGGGAGAAGACAGGGCTCTGCACCCAACACTGGACGGGTGCTGGACATGGTGGGTGAATCAGCACCAACTTAAAAAGGAAATGAAAACAAGATAATTAACTCCTAAGGAAACAAAAGGTCAAACGGGAAAAGCAATCACAGTTTATTACATAATTCACCTCTGGCATCTATACGGTCATAAAGACAGAAACAAAATTTACATTCTATGGGAGCATCTGCAGATGCAAAGGGGGGCACCTATGTGGTGAAGAGAAGCAAAGAAAGAGGTTAGTCCCAATTACCTAGAACCGGAAGTCAAAAACTGAAAAACCATCAAGGGTGCCTGGCTGGCTCAAGTCAGCAGAGCACATGACTCTTGATCTCATGGTTGTAAATCCGAGGCCCAAATTGGGTGCAGCGATTACTTAAAAGTAAAATCTTAAAAAAAAAAGTCATCAGGCAGCAACATAAGCCTGTTATTTAGACACAGCAATTATGGAAAAATTATATTTAACTTAAAGGAAGTGAAAACAGGAGTGCCTGGGTGGCTGTTAGTTAAGCCTCCAGCTTTGGCTCAGGTCATGACCTCCTGGTTTGTGGTTCAATGAGTTCGAGCCCTCTGTCGGGCTCTCTGCTGTCAGCGTGGAGCTAACCTCAGACCCTGTTTCCCTCTCTCTACCCATCCCCCAGCTCATGCATTTGCACTGTCTCAAAAATACAATATTTTTGGGGGCGCCTGGGTGGCTTAGTCGGTTAAGCGTCCGACTTTCGCTTAGGTCATGATCTCGCGGTTCGTGGGTTCGGGCCCCGCATCGGGCTCTGTGCTGACTGCCAGCTCGGAGCCTGGAGCCTGTTTCAGTCTGTGACTCCCTCTCTCTCTGACCCTCCCCTGCTCACGCTGTCTCTCTCTCCTGGAAATAAATAAAACATTAAAAAAAAATTTTTTTTAAATAAATAAATAAAATAAAATAAATACAATATTTTTTAAATAATTTAAAAAAAAAAAAGTGAAACGGGTGCCTGGGTGGCTCAGTCAGTTAAGCATCCAACTCTTGATTTAGGCTCAGGTCATAATCTCAGGGTTTGTGAGACTGAGCCCCAGGTTGGGTCTGCGTTGACAGCACAGAGCCTGCTTGGGATCCTCTCTCTCCTTTCTCTTTCTGCCTCTCCCCCATTCACCTCCCCCAATAAATTTTAAAACTTAAAAAAAATATTTATGGGAGGCTGGGTGGCTCAGTCAGTTAAGTGCCTGACTTCAGTTCAGGTCATGATTTTGTGGCTTGTGGGTCTGAGCCCTGCATTGGGCTCTGTACTGAAGAGTCAGAGCCTGGAGGCTGCTTCAGATTCTGTGTCTCCCCCTCATCCCCCTTGCCCCCCGCTAGGCTCTGTCCTTCTGTCTCTCAAAAAAAGCATAAACATTATAAAGAAAGGAGGGAGGGAGGGAAGGGGGAGAGGTAGAGAGGTGGAGAGGTGGAGAGAGTGAGAGAAAGAGGAAAGAGAAAGAAAGAAATTAAGTTTAAGATTTAAAAACAAAAAAGAAAAAAACAAGAAAAACAGTAGGGAGAAGGAAAGGGGGAGCAAGCCAGTGGCAAAAACCAACACTTAGGAAACTATCTGACTCTGAAAACTACGAGTACCGTTCTCACTGCATCACCGCCAGGGTCCACGTGCTCCCCCTGACTTGACAACTAGCGGTGCCAGTCCTGACAGCCTGGCTGAGGCAGTCTGTGCAGGCCTCCCCTGCGCAGGATTACCTCCACCACACACCCCCCACTCCACCTTTGCTCTCCACACTCCATCTTTGGGAAGCAGGTCACCAGGGGCAGCCCACACTCAGAGGGGTGGGGAGAGCGAGTGAGAAGAGGGATTATAAAGTGCCTGGAGCTCTGTATAGGGCAGGGCCTCTTCTCTGCCTCATTCCTCATTGGCTCCCTTACTCACTAAGGTCAACATGCACAGGGGATATTTGTTTTCTACTTCAGGTTATATCTAAAGAATACTAATTATTAAGCATACCATGTTATTTATTTGGGGGCTCCAACCATCCCAGCTAGGGGCAGCCAGAGTTCTTTCAGTCAGGCTCTCGTGTCATCTGACGCGCTCCGGCCCTTTGCTTTTTGAGGGCTCCTGTCCTTTCTGGCACCACAGGACGTCCCAGGGTCGCCTGGCACTCTCCCTGCCCCAGCCCTAGAATCAGCCATCACCTGAAGGAGCCTCACTTTGTTTGATGGTAAAATGGTTTCAGGAACCAAAACTGGGCCCAGTGAGCTTCTTCTCAAAACCTGCAACCCCATCTAACCGTGAGAAAAATGTCAGACAAACCCAAATTGAGGCCTATTCTACAAAATACTGACCAGTACTTCACAGGCCAGGAAAAATGATGGCGACATGTGATATGGTCCTGGACATGTGAACCCTGTCCTGGACAGGGTTCTGGAATAGAACAAGGATATTAGGGGAAAACTACTCAGATCCAAATAAAATGTTGAGTTTGGTTACAATTATGTACCAATGCTAGTTCCTTAGCTGTCATAAATGTGCCATCATCATGCAGGACATTAACATTAGGAGAAACCGACTGCAGGTGTGCAGGGATCCTGTCTCTGCAACGTTTCTGTAAACGTGAAACTATCCTGAACAGTTTATTCCTTAAAAATCTACCTACAGAGGGGCGCCTGGGTGGCTCAGTCGGTTGAGCGTCCGACTTTGGCTCAGGTCATGATCTCACGGTTCGTGGGTTCGAGCCCCGCATCGGGCTCTGTGCTGAACGTTGCTCAGAGCCTGGAGTCTGCTTCGGATTCTGTGTCTCCTTCTCTCTCAGCCTCTCTTCCACTGGTACTCTGTCTCTCAAAAATAAATAAATGTAAAAAAATTAAAAAAAAAAAATCTACCTACAGAGGCGCCTGGGTGGCTTAGTCGGTTAAGCATCCGACTTTCACTTAGGTCATGATCTCACGGATCGTGGGTTCGAGCCCCGCATCGGACTCTGTGCTGACTGCCAGCTCAGAGCCTGGAGCCTATTTCAGAGTCTGTGTCTCCCTCTCTCTGACCCTCCCCTGCTCACGCTGTCTCTCTCTCCCTCTCTCTCCTAGAAATAAATAAAAATTTAAAAAAAAAATCTACCTACAAAGAATACAAAAAGTAAGTATGTAACTTTGACAAAAACAAAACCAGGAAAGCATACACACACTGTGCGTGGTAAGAACGCAATCTGTGCAGGATCTTAATTTGTGAAGCATTTCCGTATGCGTGTGGTTTGTACTTTTTTAAGAAGGCTTCATCCCCAGCGTGGAGCCCGGCGTGGGGCTTGAACTCCCAATCCTGAGATCAAGACCAGGACTGAGATCAAGAGTCTGATGTTCAACCGACTGAGGCCCCCAGGGGCCCTGTGCACACTATTTCATAAGAACAAAATACAAAGTCTATAAATAGTTTAATCAATGATCCGTATCATTCCCATTTACAAATGAGCAGACGGTTGTAGACACGTAAGCCCACACTACCTGGAACAGGAACAGAATCCAAGCTCTTTCCACCACGTTCAGGCGCACCTCTGATTTAGTGACTGCACGCACGCCGCACACACGACCCTGCGCCCTGCTAGCCCAGCAAGGAGACAGACGAGTACCTGACCGGAGCTGCAGCCAAAGGACCTTCTCAAACCCTCAAGTATATAAAGGATTTGAAATTTCTGCCACAATAAAAATAGACCAACCTAACAGTGAGACAAGAAGGGAAACGCTGAATATACTGAATATTTTATAAGGCAGAGAAATTAAACCAGAACAGGCTGGATGCTAAAAGCACTT